GCCCCCGTCGCGAAGTACTCCACCATGAAGTTCGCTGCCGTCTTTGTACTCGCCTCGCTCGTGATCGTCGGCATCTCCGCCGATGATAGCTCCTCCGCCTGTGACCGGCTTCCATGCCCCGAGAATGCCCCACTCATTTGCGCAAGCAACGGCGTCACGTACGAGAATCGGTGCGTGTTCGACCATGAGAACTGCAATAGCGGTAACAAGTGGACAGTTCTGCACGAGGGCACGTGCAGCAGGAGTGAGGGCGGAAGATAAAGTCAAGTTGGCTGCCAAAACTCTGGCTGAATCGCCCCGTTATCGGAGCGGCGGCGCTCAAGGGTGTGTCTTTCCTCTTCGTGCAACTACATTTGAGTAGGACCTGTAGGCAGGGATTCTAACGAACAAAATATTCAAGGCAAGAAGGCCTCACTCTCAAGTTTACGTTTCCTACGTCGCGGATGCCGTAAAGATCCGACTTTGACTGGTACTACTATGTAGTACTGGCTTCATGAAATGGTCACTGAATTGGCCCGTGAAGCTTGATTGTCAACTCTAATACTGTCTAGTACCTCGTCGAAACTCTCTAAACGATAGCCGCTTGATATCTACACTGTTGTACGGCGTCGATAGTTCAGAGGCACAGGCGGACTTGGAGCTGGAGATCGAATCCCTGCGCGTCCTTTAGACGTCTTTAGTTTCCTCAGGACTACCCTCCTGACATAAACGTTTGCGAAGGAATTCTCGCTGCACACTCGAGTGATCGACACCTAGGAGGTTGTTGGGGCGCGCGGGAATTTCGCTGTGGGAGGCTGTTGCGTGGACGCTACTTCCAAGATTCCGTGTAAGTTGGATTTCCTGAGTGTATTCCCATCGAGCGAACAAAGTCCTCCTCTGTGGATTGCTCGGTGTAGAAGGTGAATACCATGGTATTATCTCGTAGAACGAATCCATTCCGTTGTGGTGGTTGGCGAATCCACAACCTGTATCCTAGCAAAGCTTAACTAGGCGCCACTACTGGATACCCATGATCGGGCTTGGGATTGGCTGCCTGGCTTTCCTGGGCTGCCAGCAATGGCAGGTAAGGGCAGGCAGTAGATTAGTATCAGTTCTCAATTAGCATCCCAAGGAACCAGTAATACACGTTGTTCTTGGTGGGAGTTCCAGCTCCCAGTCTACCGTGTTATACTTGCCTCAAGGTGCAACACGTCACATCCGTGAGTGATCAATTGTTCACTTGCCGTGATGATTATTTGTGCACAATGTATTGGTTAGCATTGTGGTATTTCTTAAAACCGTGCGTCCAGGGCAGGCTTGGTTTCTTCCATTAGCTGGGCTTGTGTACGCTGTTTTGCCACAGCGATGGCTTCCACAGGGAAAGAAGTCACCGGAAGTAGCGTTTGATACATGGGCGGTCGGGTCGTTTTGTGTCGGGTGTCGCTCTTAATTAAGGAAGATGATGTGGAGGTAGTCAGACGAGAGACTCGGAGGTTCCGATCAGCATGTCTTCCTGGATTGAACGGTGGATGGCTTCCTACCCCAAACTAAATCTTAGTGCTGAAGGGGTTGATGCCGACCTGCAGAACTCTCACTTTCCAATTTCGACCTCAGCATCAAGTGTTCTCCCGACATTCGCGGTGATCACCACCCCACAGCAAACCAAACCAAGAACGCTCCTCTCTCCACCGTCATGGCGACTCGACTTACACTCGCAATTGCTGTGCTCGCCTTGCTCAACGGCGGCGCTCTAGCCCAAGGTCCGCGCGGTCCGATGCGCATGGGGCGAATGCCTCGTGACCGCGAGCAATTTGGCGCAGGCAACGCTCTCGGTGGCATGGGCGGCGCAATGGGCGGTCTTGGCGGCGGTGCTAGCAATGGATTCAGCGGAGGTCTCGCGGGTGTCGGAGGTGTCGGTGCTGGTGGCTTCGGTCAGCTGGGCGGGGGTGGAGTTGGAGGTGCTGGCGGCTTCGGACAGCCCAGCGCTGGATTCGGAGATGGCGCTGCTGCACTTGGCCAGGCCGGCACGACCACAACTGGGTTGATGAATGGCGCCAGGGGCATTGGTGCTGGGGCGAGAGGCGTCGCGGGTACGACGGGTCTGGGCAACGGTGGTCCTGTGACTCCTGCGCCGACGACGCCAGGCATTTCCGGGCCGACGTCCCGCAACGGAGGCGCTGCTGCGGGTGCAGCTGGTGTCGGCGGATTTGGTGGTGCTGGAGCTGGAGCCGGTGGTCTTGGCGGAGCTGGTGGACTTGGAGGAGCTGGTGGACTTGGAGGAGCTGGTGGACTTGGAGGAGCTGGTGGACTTGGAGGAGCTGGTGGACTTGGAGGAGCTGGTCCCTTTGGAGCAGCAGGCGGCCTCGGCGGCCAACTGGGCGGCTTCGGAGGACGCTTTGGCGCTGGTGCCGGTGCTGGTGGCTTTGGTGGTCTTGGAGGCCTCGGAGGCATGAATGGCGGCGGATTCGGAGCTGGGGTACTCGCGGGTCTTGGAGGCCAAGGGCGATTTGGAGCTGGTGGCCAGTTTGGCGGCGTGGCGGGCCAGGCCGCCGCCGGTGGGATGGCTGAAGCTGGTATGTAGTAGTTTGTTGCGTGAAGGTGGGGCCCCGTTCGGTTGAGCGCGTGCCTCGAGTCGCATTCGATGTGGTAAATATCAAGTTTTTTTTTCTTTCCGTGTTATTTATGCTTCTGTAAGAAACAAACCAAACAAAGTTCCCAATTCGATATCTTTTAGTAGGTAAACTGGTCGCGCACCTTAGGGTGGAGCAAAGGAAGAAGTGTGATCTCCTACTCGAAAGTTGCATTCGGAGTTTCCAGCTACCACCACTATGGCCCGACTGGTCGACTTACAACTCGCTTGCCACACGTACTGGAAGATGATGAAGACAAAAAAATCTTGACTGGAGCGAAGTTGATCGATCTCCGAAACTTGATGCTGTTCGCCATTCACTCCACCTCAGACCCAATGAGGTCATCGATTGGAAGCGCTTGGACCTGAAGCACACTCAGCAATAAACGACAATCCGGTCCTGCCTAAGTGCTTCGCGAAAGGTGCGATGCGCGCTGCCCATGTGATGTACTTCATGACTGTGTGTGTGTTTACTTTGTGGCGAAGTTCTACTGCGGAAAGGCTGCAACTGTCAGTCTTTTGAGGAAACTTCAGAACGATGTGGAGATGCAAATCGTAGCTAAACAATTAGCTACCGAGTTTTCGCTTTCGGAGAAGGTCGAGAATGCCGTGGGTTTATCTTCACGTGTTGGTATGAGATTAAGAATCCGGCCAAGGCAGGATAGAGCTCGTCGATGTTCATGTTCACGACTGAGCCGTACGTCGAGGGTGAGTACAACAACAACAACGGCTGGATCAACGATGACGGGCTGAATCTAAGTGAGACTGCGCAAGCATTCAGCCACTTCACGTGGCAAAAGACGTACGGACAGCTGATGGTGGTGGATCTTCAGGGCGTTGAATGCATCTTCACGGGCCCGCAGATCCACTCGAAGCAGAGAGACGAATTTGGTTGCGGCAACTTGTCGGACGCTGGGATTGCCACCCTCCTCGTGACGCACGAGTGTAATGCAAAGCTCTCCGGCTAATGCCAGCGAGATCCTCGAAGTCAGGATCGAGAGTAACCCAAGGTTGCTGACACAGCCGAACGAACATCCGATGGAGACTCGACCAAGAAGGCTGCCAACAAGTCGATGACGTGTAGCTGTCCGTTGTGTGGTGGGATCACGACTGTGCTGCACAGTGACTTCACCGAAGCGCACTGGAAGGGCCGTGAGGTGTACTGCGAAGCCTACGTCGCCAAAGAAAGAAGTATGAGCAACGCGCGTGCAGTGTGTGCAAGGGAGAGCTCGCGCTTCCGCCCTCCTGGTACTCTATGCAGGGCATGGAACCCCCGACGAACTGCAAGAGCTGCAAAGCGAAGACGGCCAAAACGAGAGCGAAAACGTCCAAGTCCATGTCGACCAAGTCCTCGCGTTCGCTGTGAGCTCCCCACATTGGTGTTCTGTTGGGTCCGAAGTAGTGTACCAACTACATGCAGCCTTTTGTTGTATCTGGTGGTGAATTGCGCGTTGCATGTAAGATCGTACGAACTGCAGTTGAACGTTAAGCTTAGGTCAATGAATGAAATGGGTCTTATGAGTCGTTGCATACAGTAGCTCCTTCATCGAGCACACCAACGCAACGGCGTGTTGACTATAAAATGTAATTATTGATTTTTAAATTTTAAAAATGAATATACAAATGTATGAGTTTGAAATTGATGTCGTCAGACATTGTGTAAACAGTATCTGTAGCCGGACAGTACGAAATTTTGGCAATACTAAATGTACTTTACTACACAATTAATTAATTTATTTTATTTCAAGTGACCATCACTCTTCTTTTTGGTCACTCCACAGTCACTGTAACGGGGTAAATTTGAGCAACCTTACGTTCAGCTCCATTTTGCGCACTTCCACTTTAGTGCGTGGCGCGTGTGGCTGGCAGCGCAGCGGGCGGCGTGTGCGTGTCCTCACTCATGATGCTGCGGCGTCTTCCTCGGTACGGCGTCGTCCCCCCTCCTCTCCCTCACTTTCCACCCTTCCTCACTCTACTCACGCGTCTCGAAATGCTCCGTTCTTGCAGCTTCCAAGGCGCGTCGCTGTCTCTGGCGCGAGCTCGGATCCGGCCCAGTTCTCTGCGCTGCGGACGCTCCCAGCTGCTCTTTTCCACTCTGTCCAAGTCCGCAGACGACCAGGAGCAGAAAGCAGCCTCTCCGGCTCAGGTATCACACGTAGAACCTCCCCATTGACCTCATTTCCCTATCTAACGTAAACATCCACTTTAATGCACATAGCCTCCGTCGGCCAAGGCGGGCGAGGTGAAGCGGCTGCTGTCGCTGTACAAGCCCGAGAAGAAGCCACTGGCCATCTCCATCTCGGCTCTGGGCGTGTCCACCTTCATCACCATGTGCGTGCCCTATGGCATGGGCAAGGTCATCGACGTGGTCACGGCGGGCTCCGCCGCCGCCATGCCGCTACCGACAGTCGTGACGCTGCTGGGAGGGCTCTTCGCTGCTGGTTCTATTGCTAACGTCATCCGCGTGGACACCAGCAACATGATCGGCGAGAGGATCACCAACAGACTGAGACAGGACACGTACGCGTCAATCCTACGGCAGGAGCTGGGCTTCTTCGACTCGTCGCGCACGGGCGAGCTGCTGAACCGGCTGAGCGCGGACACGACGCTGATCGGCAAGGTGCTGAGTGACAATGTGGCGGGCGGACTGCGCAGCACTGGACAGGCGCTGGGCAGCATCACCATGATCTTCATCACGTGCCCGAAGCTGGCGATGGTCATGCTGTCCGTGGTGCCGCCCATTGCGCTCGGTGCTGTGAGCTACGGACGATATGTGAAGAAGCTGACGACCAAGGTGCAGACCCAGTTGAGTGAAGCGACCGAAGTGGCCGAGGAGAAACTCGGCAATATTCGAGTTGTGCGGTGGTTCGCGAAGGAGCCGCATGAGGTGGAAGCGCACCGTGGTAAGGTGGATGAAGTGCTGGCTTTGGCTCGGAAGCGCTCGCTCGCTAGCGCCACGTTCTTTGGCGGTGTGGATTTGGGCGTGAAGATGAGCATGTTGGGTGTTCTTGGATACGGAGGTCAAATGGTTGTGGATGGAGTGCTCACCAGCGGCGACCTCACTTCGTTCTTGCTGTATACGCTGTATGTTGGATTCTCGTTCGCTGGCCTTTCTTCATTTTATGCCGAGTTGATGAAGGGCATCGGAGCCTCCTCGCGTGTCTTCGAGCTGCTTCAACGCCAACCGAAGATTCGAGCACCAGAGGGAGGTTGGGCACCATTACCGATGCCGTTCACGGGTCACATTCGGTTCCAGGACGTTGCGTTTGCATACCCTACCCGTCCCGACTCGCAGATTTTCCGTGACCTGAACTTGGAGGTGCTACCTAATGAGACCCTGGCGCTTGTTGGTCCGAGCGGCTGTGGTAAGTCTTCGGTCACGTCACTTCTTGCACGTTTCTACGAGTTGGACCAGGTTGGCTGCGGCGGAAAGATCACTTTGGATGGAGCAGACATTTCGACTCTCAACCCGGCGGAGCTGCGCGGTCTTATGGGTGCGGTTCCTCAGGAACCGCCACTTTTTGCGTGCTCAATCAGGGATAACATTGCCTACGGCTGCTCTGAGGGCCAGGAAGCGACACTGGAGGATGTTATCCACGCAGCAAAGACTGCGAACGCTCACGATTTCATCATGTCTTTCCCTAACGGATACGACACGATTGTTGGTGAGCGTGGCCAAGCTCTTTCGGGTGGCCAGAAGCAGCGCGTAGCCATTGCTCGTGCGCTGGTAAAGCGCCCCAAGATCCTCATCCTTGATGAGGCTACGTCAGCTCTGGACCCAGAGAGTGAGAGACTTGTGCAAGATGCCGTGGACCGCGCTAAGCAGGGCCGTACGGTTATTCTGGTGGCACACAGACTATCGACTATCAAGAGCGCTGACCGCATAGCCGTGATCTCGGATGGCCGTGTGGTGGAGCAGGGAACCTTTAACGAGCTTGCCGCTCGTGAGGACAGTACTTTTAAGCAGGTTGTCCTGAACGGGCAGAACTAACTCCGATTCACTTCCATCGGCTTGAGTTCACAAGCAGTGTGGGCGGGTGAGCGTTGTTGATACATAGAAAACAATTCATGAATAACAGATGTGCGGGTGACGGTGTATTCATGCGGAGTGTGGTAGTTATTCATTGAATGCTGGTTTGCTGGATGAAACAAGCGAAGGCGAAGAGGTGAGTTTGCAGCTACGAAAGGAGAATCATGGAGAGACTTACACTGATTTCAAGTATTCCTTGGTGAAAAGGTCCAGCGACAGGGATCCACTTCGAACTGCTGACACTGCAGCGGCCCCACTCCCCACAGGCGTCGTCGCTCGATTTCCCTCTTCGATTACGTCGCTCTGTCCAGACTCAGACTGTCCTTCTGGATTCGACCTCTTGCCGCTGCTGGTGGCTTCGAAACTCGCAAATGAACTTGATGTATCGGGAAGACTCGCTGAAGCCTGCAGTACCGGGAATGGAATTTCATCTCTTTGTGCGCCACGTCCGGATGGCTGCGAGCTCCAGCTGATTTCCAGCCTATCCATGTTAACTGCTGAAGCTTTCTCAGACGGGAACAGGTGATTGTACAGGAAGGTGAGCACCTCGTCGTGAGCTAACAAACGTTCGATTAGTCGTACGCGGTCATTTGGTGTGAAGTCATCCAGCTCAACGTCGAATCTTGGTTGGCGAGGTTTGTCCCCGGGTGCTGGCAAGCGTGCACCCCGTTGTGCTGCCCCCTTCCTATCAACTAGGGAGTTTGGCCCACAATCGCGTCTTCGACCCACTTCCTCCTTCACCGAGTCAACACATTGCAGGAAAAACCGCTCAAGAAGCGATTGTCCGGTACCCCCATCTCGCCTCAGCAGGCGTTGCTGCCTTTTGATCGTTGTGAGCTCGTTTGATTTATGCTGCAGCTCCCGTTTCAAGGCGTGGATCTGCTTTTTGAGTTTTTCCTCTCGCTCTTCTGCCAACATCGCCGTCTGCCCCGTTGAAGCAACGTCCAGATTCAAATGGGGTAAACCATGAGCTCCTACTGTTGGTGCTGCGGCGGATATCGGATCTTGCGAGCTTCGATGCTTTTGCATTTTGGAGCCTGACCTACTCTGTGTGTCGAAAGGAGGGAAGACTCCACCAGAATCCGACCCAGAATTGTTTCCAGGCACGGCGAGACGAACATCAAGTTCGGCACGAAGCAGTTTATTCTGCTTTTTGCACGCCTTGAGCTGCTTCTCGAGCCAGTTCCGGTCCTCTTCGATCGCCTCCAAGTTTTCTTTCATGTACTTGAGGTGTTGTCGTGAAGGCATCCAGTCGCAGCGCCTCCTTCCGGTATCAGTCGCGCTCGTCTTCGATCTTCTTGATCTTCTCGGACTTGTTCTCCACAGTCTCGTTCCGGTGAATTTTCTCACACATTTCGTGCAGCTCCTTCGGGACGTTGTACATGTGCGCTCGATACGCAGCCAAGAAATCTCGCTCCTGTCGAGCCAGCACTGCGCTGATTTTCTCGGATAAAGAGCCAACAACATCGTGAAGCTGTGCGTGCTTCTCACGAACTAATGCCATGCTGCGATCATGAAGTACAAGAAACGATCAAACGTGAGACTACGACAAGTTGCAAAAGGTAAGACTGGGAGTCGTACGCTGGCGCTTCCTCGATGACGATTGTGTTGGAGTTCTGCGCATTCCGGTTGCCTGCACCGGACTCTGAGATCCGCTTGACCGACGTCAAGAAGGTCTCCTTGGAGAAGACCTCCACATCTTCTTGGTTCATCGGACTCAAATCACGCAGTACAGTCCAAGTTCTAGCGCAGGTGAATGCGACAGCGAGACGGGGACTAACGAAGTCTTGTCTTTGGATAAATGCAACCACGGTGTCATCAGAACCCACGGAAATAGCGAGCACTTTCGATCAAGAAACGGTTCAACGCCCCCCCCCCCCCCACCATGAAAGTGCTTGTGTATGGGGGCTGACAGCCTGCATCGCCTCGATGCCAGTGCCATACTAGCGCAAGGGTTCCATGCACTGGTGCTATAATTCTGTAGTATGCTTAAGGCAATCGGCGTGGCAATTTACGTGATGTCTACTGAAGGAATAGCAAGAGATGAATCGTCCAAGAAACCGTCACCAGAACGACGCTTGAGCAGAATTCAACATACACAGCATCAACCAACTCGGAACGCGAGCTCGACGCGATGTTCCAGTCACGAGCTTCCCTGGCTCCTTCTATCTCCTCGTTCCCACCGGCTGACATCTTCTACGACTGGGACAGCGACGAAAGCGACAGCGATGTGGAGGAGCTCTTCAGCGCCGAAGACTTCGTCACGGTATCCGAAGACCTTCTGCTCGTGAAGCTACGGTGCTTTCATCCGAAGCTGGACGTGACGGGACTCTCCGCTGCCTTCCATCGAGAGTTTAGCGTCACGAGAGACTCGCAAGAGTTGGAAGCGAGACTCCAGAAACTGCAGGCGCCCGAGTTCCGAGCTTTGTTCGTTTTGTACCTGAAAGCTGTTAGTATCGCCAAGGAAGCTCAGTACACGACCAACGCAGGATCAGGGATTTTACCGGAGTACCAGCCTCTCCTCGAGAGCACGAGGACGTCGTGCGAGACCCAACTCTTCCAGATGATGTACGACCTCGACAAGTACCAGCAAGAGGCGTCTGAGATGCTGGCGGTGGAAGTGTCCGGTCGGAACTTCCCCAAATACTCGCGCTCGGTCTCGAGAGCGGAGCTCCGTCGTTGCTGCAAGGTGATCGACGACTTGTTCCGGCGTCAGGTGGAAGGCGAAACAACGGCGTCGCACCAGGCCTTCACGTTGTACGCGGCGCAGACGCTGAACGAGAAGCTGATAATCACGGACACGGCACCTCGCTACGACTCCATCTCGGTCTTCAACCACTTCGAGCAGCCGATCTTTGATCGTCTCATTCTCTACGCGAAGGACCCGCAACTTGTTGAGCGATTGGCGCTTCAAAGACAGCAGCAAGTGGAGGCGAACCGCATCAAGCAGCAGTTCTCGCAGCAACTTCGATCGATCTTCGAGACTTTGCGACTCAAGCAAGCGGAGAGGCTCGAGCAGATGCAGGTACAAGAGCTCGAGACCATTCAAAATCAATTGGAGAAGACGCTTGAGGCCGATCTCCAGCATATTCGTCAGATGCATGCAGCCCTACTGAACCATGAACGCGCGAAGATCAACGCTAAATATGAGGAACAGAAGACTGTGCTGAGCGAGAAGGTGAAGATCATGCAGCGAGAAGTGATGGCACTCCAGAAAAAGTGTGACAGCAATGGATGGCACGGACTTGAGCGCCTCATCATGAATACGTCCCTGCAGGTGGAGCGGATCTTCGGCACGAGTGAGTATCTCCTGCGTCTGCTCATTCTCGCGGAAGACTTGCATGCAGATCCGTTGAGACGTGCACTGGTGCGCTACATCAGCGAAGAGAACAAGCTCCCGCAATTTGTACTTCGCCGCGAACTGACCAGCAAAATGGTAGCGGAGACGACAATACTCGCAATGCTCAAGGAGGCGACAACCAAGGACCTTCGAGAGGTTGCCACCTTCGGAGCGAGCTTCCTCCACCAGGATTTGGTGACGCGCGAACTTCACACTCGGAGAATCGAGTTCGGGAGGTTCCTAGCGGGGCTCACAAACGATCGACTTCGAGCTGCACGCCGGTACGCTGTTGCCAAGAAACTTACCGGTAAGGCTTCCAACTACGAGACTGCGTACACGTCCGACAACCAAATTGGCCAGGATCAAGATGACGATTCTCAGACTGTGATCCTCGACGCTGAGTTTGATCGCTTTGCTGCGGCTCTGGAAGATTTTCAAGATATTCTATCGCAGGAGTTCACTCGGCGTCGAGAATTTGCTTGCGTGAAGATGGATAGTACGGATATCGAGCAATACGTGAGCTTCGCGGCTGAAGACTGTGTGTTGCAACTGGAAGCCTCGCAACGATACTGCACTGTACACGCGACGAAGGAGCGACGTCAAGGAGAGTCAGGCAAGTGGATGTTTGAGGTGACCATTGATGTCTTTGGCGGAGACGGTGAAAGCCTGCTGATTGGATGGGAGGTACCTCGTGGCTCAAACGCGGCAGCGGCAGAGCCCGACGCAAGCTCCTTACCCTCTTCTCCAAGTAGTAAAGTGTCTAAACAACATGACACTGGGTCTGTGGTGCCGGGGATTTCGCCAAGCGATGATGGACGCAGCTACGGTGTAACTTGGCAGGCTGATGGCGGTCTTGACATGGGTATGCTACATGCTAATGGGGTTTCAAAGTCGGGAGTGCCAAGTTTTCGAGCTGGTGACACTATCGGCTGCACCATCGACCAGGACTTGGCCGTTCCTCAGTTGCGCTTCTACCTCAACGGGGATGTTACACTACCGCTACGCCGAACAACTACTGCAGGGGGAGGAGTATTGTCGGCAGCGGATTCTTCAACTTCATCTGAAATTTCGACCAGCTTCGGCATCGCAGTCACGAACCCAGCATACAGATTGGTGCCTGTGGTTTCGATGTACTCGTCCAGCAAGAAGCCACAGATGCGGGTATCCTTTAACTTCCGAGGTGACTTTCGGTTTCCCATTCCAGGATTTGATCCTTTCGGTGCCCCATTATAAGCTCATAGACCATTGGGCGCCTTCCAAAACCTACATAAAACGGTTTAATCACGGTCGGTTTGATGCCCCCTTTAATAACAGTTTTATAAGTTTTATCCGCATTAAATTTTCGGTCAAAATTCCGACGTCCAAAACCTGCATTAAACGGTTAGTCTGGTCGACTCAATGTGTCCCGTTCATTAAAACTATATGGGAGATTGTATGACACAGAAATGAGGCACATTAGATCTGGACAAATATCACAAAATAATCTCGATATCTTTCGATACGAAAAGCCGCGAACTCTCGTTCAATCACTTCCGCACACCCGGCAGAACGTCGACGCCTCCCTGTGCGCCGGCACCGCGTCCACATGACTGACCCCAGGCAGCTGGTGGTGTTATGCATGATGTCGGAGACCCGTCAGCGAATGCTGGATGCTGTCAAAGATCTGCGACGGCGCCTTGGTGAGGAGAGGAAACGCGCCGAACACGCTCGCATGGTCCGTATCCGACACTACGTGACCACTTCCTGTCTACCAGCTCCGCGGCTAGCCCCCTGGATGCATATCTGGTGGTTCGGCAGCGATAAGAATTTCATAACGATCACCAGTGTAACGGGATTACATAGAATAGTGACCCTATCACTATTCCGGGATGGCTACATCGGTCACTCCCCTGGATAGTGACCCAAGTGGCCTACAGCAGCTGCGACAACGAACATGTTCCGACCTGGATGATTATATCGCTCAATTTCGACAATTGCTCTCGCAGATTCGAGGTATGGGCGACTTAGATGGTTCGTACAGGGCCTCGTGCAGAAGACAAGAGAAGAAGTCATTTATTGCCGGTGCCAAACAGTTTCGGACGCTATGGCTGTCGCTCAGCAGTATGAGCGCTCGCACCCAAACAATTATCCCGATCGCAACGAAGGTACCAGCCGCTGGGCACAGCGAGGACGCCCGCAAGCTCGCTTCGCACGTCCGAGATATCCGCAGCAGAATAACCAGCCAGAGCCCACGGAAATTGGCACAGTGCAGGTGTCACGCGAGGAGTGTCGTCGCAAACGTCTCTGCTTCTATTGTAAACAAGCAGGGCACATGCTCAATCGCTGCCCAAAACGCGGCAACGCGTCGGCTAACAGGCGCGTATACGTCTCGCAGATGACTTCAAGCCCTTCCAGTCACGTGTCGCCTGCTGAAGCCGCTGACAGCATTCATGCGACCAGAGTGATTCACTTCAACATGGCTCGCATCGGCGCAAATGACCCTGGCAAGTCGCGCCAAGGGGAGCTGCTTCGAAAGAATGTGGTTATCAACGGCAAGTTGGCTCGTGCCCTGATTGACAGCGGCGCTGACACCAATTTGATTCGACCAGGTTACCTGACTGGACAACTGATAGAGCGCAAGGTCAACATTGAAGGCTTTGATGGTGCCCGCCTAGAGAATGTCGTAGTGAAAGAAGGGGTGGGCGAGGTTACGCTGGACCAGCAGCGATTTCTTGACGTCATCCTCACCGAGTTTGATCTGCTTGCCAGTCACGACGTTATCCTCGGAAACCCGTGGTTGACTCAATTCAATCCTCGGATCGACTGGGCTACGCACGAGATTACGGTGGACGTTCCGTTGATCACACCCACGTTTTCCTTTTCCGTGTTGAATCTGTCGGCCGCGTACAAGGAGGTCCCTCTCGAAGTCGATGAGTGCAGGCCTCCACAGAAAATGGGGATGCCAGACCTCCCTCTGTGGTCACCGTTTGGGTTCGAAGCAATTCCAGACTTGCAGCGTGCATTCTACGTCAAGGTGAAACCATTGCAGCTGAAGTCGACGTGGCCTCGATATGTGGAGTCAATTCCCAATGAGTTCCACGACGTTGTACCAGAGACGCTACCCGCTGGGCTCCCTCCACAACGTGCCGTGGAGTTTGAGATCGCGCTGAAGCCTGGAGCGATGCCGCAGAACCGCGCTCTATTTCGTCAATCAAAAACGGAGCAGGAGGCCCTCGACATCTTCGTCGCTGATATGCTGGAGAAAGAGTGGATTGAGCTATCTAACTCTCCGTGGGTGTCAAATGTGTTCGGAGTGCCGAAGAAAAACCCCGCGACTGGAAGAGCTCCAACGAAGTCGGAATGGATAAAAGCATTAGCTGGTGATCCCACACAGCCAATTCGCTGGGTGGTGGACTACAGATTTCTCAACAGCCAGACACTTGTGCCTAAAATCCCGATACCGCACATCGATGAGCTGTTCGACCGAATGAGTGGTGCAGTCTTCTTCTCTACGCTCGATCTCGCACAAGGATACCACCAAATGAGAGTGAAGCCAGCCAGCAGACCCTACACAGCGTTTCGTACACGCAACGAGACCTACCAATGGTGCGTGGCTCCGATGGGGTGTAGCGGAATGCCTGGGATCTGGTCTCGCTTGATGCGCTCGCTGTTCGACAGATTCGACTTCGTCGTAGTATACCTCGACGATATTTGCGTGTTCTCACACACCGCGGGCGAGCACGAGCAACATTTGCGCCAAGTATTTGAGGTACCCCAGGAGCAGCAGCTCTACGTGCGCCTTGCGAAATGCGAGTTCGGCCAAGTGACCATCGACTTCTTGGGTCACACAATCTCGGCTAAAGGTCTCGATGTCGACTCGAAGAAGACGGAGGCAATTCAACAGTGGTCCGCGCCGCAGAACGTGAAGGAACTACAAAGTTTTCTCGGTCTGGTCGGATACTATCGCCGCTTTGTTCGAGATTTCGCCAAGCTTGCCATGCCTCTCAGCAACTTGGTGAAAAAGGACTCTGGTGGGTACTGGAACGAGGAACAAGACGCTGCCTTTACAGCAATTAAGGCCGCATTGCAGGTTGCCCCCGTTTTGCGCCTTCCCGACTTCTCCATGTCGTTCTGCATCACGACAGATACCTCGGGCTATTGCTGTGGTGGAGTTCTCTCACAGGTTGTGAATGGAGACGACCACCCCGTGGCGTTTTACTCGAAGAAACTCTGCAAGGGTGAACTCAACTGGCCACCGCATGAGAAAGAGCCGTTTGCAATCTTGCTTGCCCTGAAAAAGTGGCGTCACTACGTGTATGGCGCACGCTTTACCGTATTTACCGACAATTCACCTTGTCGATGGTTTCTCTCCCACCCTCGCGTCTCTGGGCGTTTGGCGCGGTGACTAGACTACTTCAGTCAGTTTGACTTCGAGCTGAAACACGTTCGAGGTGAACAGAACGTTGTGGCCGACGCACGTTCTCGTCGTCGTACAGATGCAGCTACCTCCGACATGAAGGTGAACGTGGTGATATTTACTCCGTGCGAGTCGACGAGCGCACAATCGGACCCAGAGCTGTCGTCTTCTTCGTTGGGAGGGGAGGTGATTCCATCTCCTGTCGCTGTTCATGCAGTTACCTTCGATACCAGTACAGTTACCCTCAGCCAAGACACTAAGCAAGAATTTGCTGAGGCCAACACCAAGGATGCGCTGTATGCTTCAGTGCAAGAAGGTCAAACCGCTGAGCTGGAGTTTGGAACTATCGAAAAGCTGGATGGACTAGTGCTTTTGGTGGATAAGCAGTCTCGGCGTCGTCTTTGTGTCCCTGCTGATGACATGCTGCGGACGAAAATCCTCGTGGAGGGTCACGACGGACCTGGTGCAGCGCATCCAGGGCAGGACCGGACACTTTCTCGAGTTTCGCAATGGTACTTCTGGCCCCAGCTTCGTCGCGATGTCAAGGACTATGTCTCAAGTTGCCTCACGTGTCTGCGGTACAAGACAAGCAGCAAGAAACGCAATGGGCGCATGATTCCTCTCGACGTGCCAAGTGAGTCTTGGGAAGTCCTTGGGCTCGACTACGTGACCGGATTGCCAGAATCCGAAGGCTTTGACTGCATCCAGACTGCTATTTGCCTACTCTCGAAGCGACCTAAGTACGCACCCACTGTGATTACAGCCGACGGAACGCAGGCTGCTCGCGTCTTTTTCGACTCGGTGGTGCGCCACCATGGCCTCCCACGCGCCATAGTAAGTGATCGTGACCCGAAAATCACAGGCGAGTTTTGGCAGGAATTGATGCGGTTGCTCGGGGTCCAGCTGCGGATGACGGTCGCTCACAGGGCCCAAGCGGATGGGCAAACCGAGCGGTAGAACCGCGTACTAGCTGATTCACTTCGGTGCATGACGGCTTACCACGCAAAGACTGGGTAAAACACCTCGGAACCATTGAACTGGCGCACTCGACACCGAAAAAGAAGGCTACAGGGTTCTCTCCGTTCGAGATCGACACAGGGCGTCGCATTCGGCATCCGGCTGAATTGTTTCGTGTCAATCCGACCGAACTGGCGAAATCCCCAGCTGAATTCGCGGTGCAATTTATTGACGAGCGCAGGAAATTTGTCGATGCAGCCCGACAGCAGCTCCTGGAATCACAGGGACGCGCAAAGGACAACTATGACCGCAGCCGCAGCAACGATCAGTTCAAAAATGGTGATTCGGCACGTCACACTCGCCAAAACATCGGAGAAGCAGAAGCTGGCACCCCGCAAGATCGGCCCGTTCAAGATTCTCGAAATGATCAACGAAAATGCAGCTCTACTAGATCTACCGGCGTCAATGAAGCGCCTCCACCCGTGTTCAACGTGGAATTGCTGGAGCACTACCCCGCACCGGTCGCACATTTTGATCGCCGCCCTGCTGCGAAGAACTTCCCGGTGGCTCTCGACGAAGAGGAGTATCACGTGGTCGAAGCACTCCTCAAGAAACGTCAATTCAACCGTCAACGGGAGCGGCTAATCAAGTGGCAAGGTTTGCCTGAGGACGAAAACACCTGGCTTCGTGAACGTGACGTGAAGCACGTTGTCCATTGGCGACAACTACTTGCTGACTCAAAGATAGACAGCGTGTTCGTCAGCTTTAGCGGGGGAGAATGTTGCATTTTCTCATCGGTCCGGAGGTCGAAGATTTACTCGACTCAAATTATGGCTTCAAGATGAGTTGCTCCTGGACCGGACTGAGCAGATTCAAGTAGGTAACAGTCTATTTGTATGAGTAACTAGATTCCTACATGTCCTGGTAGTGCTGAAGGTTTTCTCGCTTCCTTAGCAGACTCCAAACAAAAATGAATCATTCTCACATTTCCTCTCAAGTCATCAAGTCTCCAATCGCATCCAACTCCGTCTACTTCCTCTACAAGCCTCTCTACCTCCGCCTCGCCTCGACCTCCACGCTTCTCCAAGTTTGCACCCGGCTGGCCGAGCCCCGAGGAGTGCAACACAAACCTCCACAGCCATCATGACCATACCCGGCAGTCCGATATGTAGGAACAGCGGGACGTAGCTCTTGGCAGCCTTGAGATTCCATCCGTGGCCCCACCACTGTCAAAGGTGATGGGGTCGCCACATGAAGTACGGTACCAGGAGCAGTGAGAGCGTCATGTTACCCAGTGAGCGTCCGACTGCGATGCCGTTGAAGCCCAGCGACGTGTGGTACGCCAGGCCGTAGCCAGCAGCGAGGCTGACGAGGTTCCCGATCACTGCGATGGCGACGAGAGGCTTGACGATGTTTTGCGCTTGCATCACCTTGCGCACGAGTTCGTAGAGAAAGAGGAACGGCAGTCCGGGCAACATCAAGCGGGAGAAGTCCCGCGTCAAGTAGGTGACGTCGGCATTCTGGCCAAGCCAACCGAGCTTCGGCTCGGCGAACGAGTTGACCACGAGCATGGGAACGAGCGCCACAGTGAGAACCAACACACCAGTCTGGAAGTAGACCCCGATCTTGCCAAGTCGTTTGGCTCCGTACGCTTGGGAGCAAAGCGTGTCGAGGGCCGACGCAAGACCCAGACCAAGCGACTGCGCCGTGACGTTCAGCAGCTACAACCAAAGACAACGCGTTAGATCAACTTAAAAGGCTCAGGGATGTAGCAATCGGCAAGTGTACTTACCATGACGGAGATTGTGGCGGCGTCCACGTAGTGCTGCGAGTTGGGGCCTTCCATGTTGCCGGCCATTAGGACGGAGACGAAGCCCGGGAGGTCTGAATGCATTGGTCATATATGCATGTCTATAGTCAACAGAGAAGTGCACTTGCAATCACTTACCACTGGGAGGACTTCCTCCATGGGGCGTGGGGTGCGGCTTACTTGCTATACAAAAACGGATGGAAAAAATTAAATAGGTTAGGTGAGATGCAATCCGCTACTATTCGCGGTTTATGTGCGATTAAGAAACAGGATGGAAATATATGGAGCCATGTAAAGTGCTTCCCTAAGTGTACTGGGGGTTGCACCCCAGACCCCCGCATCAAGAAAACTAACTCCGAGTATGCGGCAACGGGTCCGTTCGCTGGAATGCTCGTCGCTGGGCCCGCCTCCGCAAATACGGCGCGGGTTTGCTGCGGCTGCGCTCCTCACTACCGTTTCTAAGCACCATGTACTCGTTTCTATTTATAGTATCCGATTTTAGCGGAGTAGCGGATTCCATCCTTTTTAGTAGCGGAAATAAGCTTAATCCTGAGGCGTGGGTCCGGCTCAACGTGTTGCTCCGCATCGCCTTGGACAGCCACAAAATAGTCTTTTGTGTCTTTTGAAAAGACTCGTTGAGCGAGTTATTGACGATGAGCTGCTCGTCCATCGTAGGCGCTTGCGTGCTAGAAGGCGGATAGGATTGTGGGCGGTCTGGTCTACCTATCGGTATGTAGTCTTGCGAAAGGCGCACGATCTCACAAAAGCTACTGATCGCGCCAGTGGTATGCAGACGTAAGTCGCAAGATGACGTCGTCTTCCCACTGACGTGAACATCGCGAATACTAAACAACCAACCAGCACTCGTCACGGGTAAATCTCAGGCGATCCGCACCACACGTTTAACCTGATCATAGGCAACAACATAAAATATTTGTCGTTAAGTGTCCGCACCACACGTTTAACCTGATCATAGGCAACAACATAAAATATTTGTCGTTAAGTGTTGGTCCTGCGGTTGATATTAATACACATAGTATATCCCCGATGTGATACATGTAGACTCTATCACATACAATTATTCTGTCGTCAAGTCAGTACGCAGACGCAATGCCATTGCAGATCTCCAAAACGCCAGATAATCGAATTAGCACTGGTGCGACTAACTATAAACTCGTATACGGCTGCCATGCGTCGTCGTAGCATGCCTTGCATTTGCATGAAGTACCAGTAGAGGGTTGCCGCTGGTCCACCTCCTCGACAGCATCGTGCTCTCAATCGGAGTAGCTGTAGGCCTCTTCCAAGGCGATGTTCGCTCGGTACGTCGAGCGGTGGCATGCGAACTGGCAGTTAAGACGACAGGAAGTGGCCCGAGCGGAGGAGGATCACGATCCTCGTTGGACAACATTGGAGGAGCAAGGGCAAGCTCATGTGTGACCCACCACGCTAGAGCGAGAACATCAGTAGAGACGGTTTTGATCAGATACTTACTTAGGATGCATGTTGTATGAAATTTGGACGGAGACGAAGACGTAGGGACGATTGCCGTAGCCGCCGGGTAAGTGAGCGGACTGGTCAGCGGAGTTCGATGCAGTGCTCGCCCGGAGCGATATCAGCGGTAACCGCAAACATAAAAATAAAAATTCTAAAGTGATGTTCGCTAGCCACCAAGCTGGAGCCCCGCACGTCGCCTCGTCTCGTCACGAAGCCCCAGGATGACACCACTCCCCGTCGGTACCAACTCCTGTCTCGCTATGACAGTGACGGACCACAAATACCAGTCTTGCACCAGCAGATACCACCTCAGCACCAGCAGCGAAAAAGACGCAGGCAGCAGCGAAAAGACGCAGGCAGCAGCGACGACAAGCCTCAGCGCTTTAACAACTTCGATATCACACAGCGATTCGACCGCGAGTTCGATCTCCAACCAGAGCGCGTGGTCATAGTACCACTGATTTGTCCCGACACCCCCACATTCGCTGAGTTTACCAAAGCATCCTCCTCCAGGATGACCTTGTGTGCAACCTTCACGACGCGCTCGAAGGCCATGCTAGAGTATTGTCGCCAGCAGACGTGGCCACGCCACTGACGAGTCGGTAGCTGCGGCGTCGTTAATCCGTAAAAGACCTTGCTGTCTCAGCATTGCTTTCTTGCCAAGACTCCTCTTCACCTCCATAGTCACAAAACAAGCCTCCTTGTACACAGTCCAAGGTAGATTCCATTCAATTACGCCGACCGAGGTAACTACACGACCAAGGTATTTACGTTGGCCAAGGTAACTGTATGCTGGTCGAGCTAAATACGGCAACTGAGGTAACTACGCCAACTGAGGTATTTATGCTGACCGAGGTAATTATGCTGGTCGAGGTAGGAACTGACCGTGACTCAAGTCAGAAATCCACGTATCACGACACTGGAAGCCCCTAGCTTGAGGCATGCACTTGTGAGCAACGTACTGTAGTATTTTTTTTGAAAAGACAACAATACTTGGTGCGATGAAATCGGTTTATGCGTTACTGTACAAGAGGGATATCTTTGGCTCACTAATGAGCTTCCGGATGGTATCGCCACATGCAGCGACGTAATACTTTAAAGCATGGGTTTCTTGCATGACCTAACATGACCTGACCTGTCAATGACCTGTTTCGCGCTCTTCCAGCCCCGGGGTCTGGTGGGCGGGTTGCAAGAAAATGTTCTGCGGGGTGCGTATGTACGCACCTGGGGGTCGCAATGACGTCTAACACTAGGGGCAAATAATATTATATTATAATATCCTCCAAAGCCCTCGTAGCTACATGCCTGAGTGAGCGCGGCGAGCTTTTTAATGAGCCCACACGAGGCATTCATCCCTTTATTGATTTGCACTTGGCTCCCATCCGTTTTTGTATCATACACGGTCGTCATCCCTTTTACACTAGATTTTAATCTTTTTTCATGCAGTGCTCCCTTGACCCGCTGCTTGGGGGGGATAGCGCGTATATAGCCGGTTTTTGGATGACTGTGCCGCGCATATCGACCATGGTGCCGATGCTGAGCGCTGTAAAAAGGTGATTCAGCGTGTTGAGCTGGTATGGCTACGACGCGCTGAGCCTGGCATTGGGCGGAGGGTGATCGTATTCGCCTGCACACAGTGTATGTACAAAGATTTTGCCCTGGCGTAGGCTCTTAGCCTGTACGACTGCCTCACAGTTGTTGTTAGCAGCAACACGCTAGCTTGCGCTCAAGTATCGTGCATCGTACGGCGACTTCATGGCGGCAGTGTTGTTGATGGTTGTTGCTCAAAAGTCGCGCTTGACAGCGTGCCACTTCTGTGACGTGCTGACGTACCGGATTGCTTTAACTTGACCCCTGAGCGAGCCCGTGTTGTCTGCTCGCCTGAGTGCTGCGACCCACGTAGCATGTGCATTACTTAAATACTTGTGGTGGCGTTAGTGCTGTTGACCGATTCATTGAGCCTGTACTCAAACGGTATACAGAGCGAACACGCCGTGTGTACCGTGTTGGTGCAGTTGCAGGTGTTCGCAGCTGATCGTAGGGCTGACTAAAGTACAACCGTGTCGATGCGGTTATTGCAGACAAATCGGCTGAGCCTGTACTCAAGCGTTGTACTGGGCTTACCATGATGATTCTGGGTGCTGATAGCCGTTAACGAACGCGTTGCTGAGTCTCTACATGAGCGACGCGATGCAGGGCATACACCGTGTTGATGGTGCTGTTGCTCGACTATGACAGAGCTGTGTACGTATCGTACTCGTCTTAGAGCCAACCTGCAAGTGTAGTGTAGTTACTTGTACAGTAGAGGTAACCTGACCCATTGCCCCCCCCTTTCGGAACGGTGAGATTGTTTTTCAATCCCGCCCTAACCCCGGGCGCAGCTGCCCACAGTCCACTTCGCAGTTCTCAAACTCGAACTCGCAGTTGTTCCGGTTCGTGACGCCATTACTTGCGCAGATAAGCGGGAAGCTCGGAGGGAGGGGGCAGTCAAAATGGGCACAGCCGTTGGAGCCCTCTTGGGCGGAGATGCCGACGATCAGCTGTGAGGCGAGTGCAGCGACGACAGCGAACTTCATGGTGCTTTGCGACGGGTGCTTGACTGGAGCTTCGAATTGGAAAGTGATTCAGCACCTGCCACACCAGAGCGCAACAAGTTCAAGACTCAAGAAGTACACTGTACCAGGTGTACCCTGCACCATCAATGACGACCGAGCATGCCTCGCGCGTGGTGGTGACCAACAGCAAAAGCAGGAAAAAGAATTGTATTTACCACATGAATTCAACTGGGTGTGCACACGAACACGTAGCCAGCAGCGAGATTGACGAGGTTCCCGATCACTGCGATGGCGACGAGAGGCTTGACGATGTTCTGCGCTTGCATCACCTTGCGCACGAGTTCGTAGAGGAAGAGGAACGGCAGTCCGGTCAACATCAAGCGGGAGAAGTCCCGCGTCAAGTAGGTGACGTCGGCATTCTGGCCAAGCCAACCGAGAATCGGCTCGGCGAACGAGTTGACCACGAGCATGGGGACGAGCGCTATAGCGAGAACCAACACACCAGTCTGGAAGTAGACCCCGATCTTGTCGAGTCTCTTGGCTCCGTACGCTTGGGAGCACAGCGTATCAAGGGCCGACGCAAGACCCAGACCAAGCGACTGCGCCGTGACGTTCAGTAGCTACAACCAAAGACAACGCGTTAGCTCAAGTCAAGGCTCAGGTGTATCAAAACGGTAAGGTTTACTTACCATGACGGAGATTGTAGCGGCGTCCACGTAGTGCTGCGAGTTGGGACCTTCCATGTTGCTGGCCAAAAGGACGGAGACGAAGCCCGGGAGGAACTCGAGGACGGTGGTTCCTGTCTGGAATGATGGCGTTAGATGCGTAGTCCATGGATAACTTCCCTTGCCGTCACGTACCACTGGGAGGATCAGCTTCAGTAACTCGCGGACTTCCTCCATGGGGCGGGGGTCCGGCTCAACGTGTTGCTCCGCATCGCCTTGAAGCCCCTCGACGGTCACGAAAGACTCGTTAAACGAGTTTTTGACAATCAGCTGCTCGTCCATCGTAGTGAGTGCCAGTGCTTGCGCGGTCGGAGTCGAATAGGATTGTGGGCGATCTCTCGTTGTCTGGTGAAAGGCGCACGATCTCACAAAAGCTGCTGATCGCGTCAGTGGTATGCAGACGTAAGTCGCACGATGACGTCGCCTTCCCACTGACGTGAACATCGCGAAGACTAAACAACCAACCAGCACTCGCCACGGGCAAATCTCAGGCGATTGTCCAAAATTCGAACTGAAAAAAGAGGAAAACGAGGGATTATCACGTTAAACAAAAAAAAAATGAAAAGTTGCACCATTCTCCGTCTGCATCGAACTGGTGCGATACTTGGAATCACTCAGTGCTGGTCGTGGCGGCGGCCGCTTCGCAGCTCTTGCAGTTCGTCGGAATATCCATACCTTTCATCGAGTACCAGTACGGCGAATACTCGAATTTCCTCTTGCACGTGCTGCACTTGCGTCGCACGGTTTTCTTCGACTTGGAAACGCACGATTTACAGTACACCTCGCGTCCACCTCGGTACGCTGCAATGAACTCGCTGTGCAGCACATTAGTAATCTCCCCACACAGTGGACAACTGCACGTCATCGACTTGTTCGCCACCCTCTCCTTCGGCTCCTCGGTTGTTGCATCCGACTCCGTTTTCTTCACTGGGTTCAACTTAAGAGCCCTGCAGACGGAGTTGCACTCGTGGGTGGCAAAGAACGCGGTCATCCCAGCGTCCGACAAGTTCCCGCAGCCGAATTTGTCCCTATTTTTCGAATGGATCTGCGGGTCCGTGAAGATGCACCCGACGCCCTGAAGATCCACCACCATGAGCTTTCCGTACGTCTTTTGCCACGTGAAGTGGCTGAAAGCTTGCGCTGTCTCACTCAGATTCAGGCCGTCGTCGCTAGTCCAGCCATTGTTGTTGTTGTACTTCTTGTACTCACCGCCGATGTACGGCTCAGCAGTGAACATGGACATCGACGAGCTCAACCCCGCTGCGGTAGGGTTCTTGATCTCGTACCAACAAGTCGAGATGAAGTCCACACCGTTCTCAATCTCTTCGGACAGCGAAAACTCGGTCGCGAGTCGCTTGGCCACAATCTGCATCTTGACGTCATTCTGCAGTGAATGCTTCGACTTTGCCATCTTTAGGGCAGCTTTTCCAAAGTAAATTTTAGCAACGAGGCGCTTCTCCATCTTGCAGTCATACATGGCATGCGCAGACCTCATCGCCCCCTTGGCGAAGCAGGTTCGAGCCAAACGGATGCTCGTTTGTTGCTGCGTGTGCTTTAGATTTAAGTTCTTCCAGTCAACGTGCTCACCTGGGCTGAAGTGCAGTGAATGGCGGACAGCACCGAGGTCCGACCACATATACATGTTGTTCCAGTCCAGCGAGCTCATCATTGGTGGGGCATCCTCCTCGTCCTCCTCATCTTCTTCATCTTCTTCACCTTCCTGGACATGCGATAAGCGGGTCGTAGCTCTACAGTCACGTCCGGAAACTTCCATTGAGCTGGCGACGACGCTTCGAATCTTGCTCGCCGAGATCGAGGAGCTAGCGGACGAGCTGATCACACTCCCGAAGCGTGCTACATCCTCCGCTCTATCCAATGAAACGCTTTGGAACTCGCCCTTAAAGCCATCACGGCCATTCACTCTATTGAAAGCTTTCCGAAGAATTGGCACCATCTTGGCTGTGTAGGGTGGACAGACTTCGATTATCGTGAAGTCGATGCCGCGCTGAACCATTTCCCTCATTTGAGCGCAAATGTCGGGGCTTTGCTCGATCTCAGCGCGATACGTCAGATTGTCTTCCACGTCGTGAAATTTGCTCCCGTGGCACGGCGCGTCGGCCACAAGCACAATGCGCTTAGCTTTCGCCTCGAAGGGCATCTCCAATGCTGCCGCAAGTCCGCCTGGAATATCCTCCGCTCTGTCTCCACCACCATACGCTTCGAGTGAGGCGATAAAGTCGTATACTGCCATCACGTCAAAAGTCAACGCTTGAGTCTGCAGCCGCTCGGCCCCGTCACAAAAGTCGCGGTAGGCCACGAAGCCAATCCGAATCTTTGCTCTGGGATGGTCAAGCTGAATATTGTTGATGATCGAGATGATTGCAGACTTCGCTTGTCCAATCCACTCCCTCATCGACCCCGTGCAGTCCATGACTATCACAAGGTCTAGTGCGTTCAAACTCTCGCATTTGCGTCGGACTTCCTTCTCGACTTTCGTGATCCTGCGCTCCATCTCGCCTCGGATCTCGCTAAATCGCTTCATCTGCTCCATCTCGTGCTCCATGGCCGTCAGTCTTCTCTTAAGCTGCTCGATATCAGCGTTAACCGAGTCGCACTTGCCCTCGTGCGTGCACCAGCCAATCTTACAGCTGAACTTTAGGAACCTCTTCTTGTGCTGTCCACTCAATTGCTCGCGCAGCTTCGCCAACTCTGCCTCCGCAGCGTCAGCGCGAATGGAGCTGGCCGACTTGGGCCTGGCGGTGCTCTCCGTTGCTCGTGTGGCAGACGCATTCATGATCTTAATCGCCTGCAGCTTCTCGCGTAGCATGGCTAGCTCCGCCTCAGCCGCATCCGCTCGTAGCGAACTCTTCGATCGTCTACGAGAGAAAAACATCCTCGACCCTCCAATTGACTTGACCACGGAGGCGAAAGTTGGAGACTGAATTGGCAAGACTCAATCTTCCCGTGGTCATGTTCCCTCACGGGGGCTTTCCAAGAGATTTCCAGGCATTTCTCTCACTCTCTTCCAGTTGATAACCTCAGCAACACGTCATCGTATGTGACGTGAGACAGACTTTTGTCGGGAGCTATTTCAAGTGTAGCCATCACAGCTCCAAGTTTGACTCGCATTATTCACTCACCTCACTGCCTATGGCTTCTGATGGCCCTGAGGTGGCCTTGCCGCCTTTCGAGCGCATCTTGCTGCTGCTCGGGCTAGAGAAGTTGCCGATGGCGGAGGAGCTGCGCCTGATGGTCGGCGGTCGCTTCCGCGTGCCGCAACAAGTCCAGCTCACCGACATCCTGAGCGCGATGCAGTCCACAGTCGCGCTCGCCAACGTCGCGTCGTGGTTCTCGCACCAGTTCGACCCGACCGACGACGTGGAGCATTACCTGCAGGACGTCATCCGCATGCACCACTACGTCACCTCCCACGACCGACAGCGGCAACTACGCAGCAACCACCTCGGCTGTCTCGAGTCTCCAAGGCGAAACGATAGTGGGGTTATTAGCGCCAATACCAGCACAGTCACCAAGCAGCTCATGCACTTTTACGCCTCCTTCGCAGACAGCCGAGACCGCCACCTCCTCACGAAGATCTACCAGACGCTGGGGCTCTCGCGCGCGATCACCTACTGCGTCGTGGCCAAGACGCTGTCATTCAAGTTCCAGAAAGAGTTTCTCGACCTGTTCGCGGAGGATCTACCCGAACTGCGAGACTGGATCAATTGGCTGGATGAACTGGATCATGCCGTGCTTGCTACGAGTCGAGGAAGCGACGAAGATGAAGTGGACGGTGAGGTAATTTACGGTCCTGGCTACGAAAGTGCCGTAAGTTTCGTTAGTAGAGCCATCCGTGAGCACTGTATGTTGACGTGGTTGAATCTGTTGCGGCCTCTGGACACCGCCAAGCGACTTGCGCTTATCGATGCGGTCCACAAGCTCCTGGCCGCGTCGAACAACAGCGGCTTCTTGTCCACAACCACCAGTACGTTGAAGAAGCTGGGCAGATTTTACGAGACCACCGGCATTTCAGCCGCCAAGCTGCTGGATCTGGATGTGGCGGTGCGACGCGAGTTGTCATTGCTGCTGGAAGAGTTCCCCACCATCATCTTGATCACGCTCTTCGCCAAGTTCAACAGCGAGAGGATGATCCATTTGGTCGTCAAGCGCGGCCTGCCATTCTTCCCGAAGAACGACTTGCTGAGGATGCTGGAGGCGTTGGCTCCAGCTGAGCCGAACGCTATCGAGGTGTTCGTGGCCACGGTCTTCAGCTTCGGCCGCAAGAAGGTGGACTTCTTGCTCCTGTTCCTCACCTTCTCCAACCAGAGCCAGCTGCGGTTCTTGGACCTCATGGTCGCTACGTCCAACTCGCCTTTGAATGCCGACCCAGAGGAGGAAGAAGACCCGTACGACGCCTTTGCGAGTCAATCGCACCTGCGCGGGAACTATTTCTTGCTCAAGCTCTTCCTGTACGCTCGCCTGAACTCGGCGGACCTTGTGATCCAGAAGCTGTCCACACTACCGAGCGACATGGCTCAGCAGTTGATGTACGGAGTGGAGGTTCGCACAGCAGACGACTTGGTGGTGCTCGGTCGGGGGCTTGAACTCATTCAGCTGCAGTGTCTTCAACCTTTTCTGCGCTTATTTCTTGCGATTCACCTCGAGTGGCGTGAGACGCTCGTGAAGTTGGTGGAAGATATGCCAGGCGAGGAAACGCTGCCGCTTTACGACACGCTGCTCAGTCTCCATGCCACCAATAACACTGAGTTTGGTGATGATAAGGTGACGACAGTCCTTCAAATGCTCACCAACCTTGAACGGAAGGACAAGACACTTCTCTGTCGAGATATCCTCGTGAATCACCCAGATACCCAAGCTGACGGGGCTGGGACAGCCTCCCCGTCCTCGACCGAAATCCACGCCAAAGTCCTGTTATACCTCTGCGAGTGCGAACTCGCGCGGCACAAGGTGCTGCGTCTTCTCCGCGTCATTCCGTTCGTGGAGTACGATCGCCTGCTCTTCTTCCTGCGCACGCAGCGGATGCCTGAGCAAGTGGCTTTGACTCGCCTCATGCTGAGCATGCCCTGCGACGCCAACTGCCGGCTCTTAGCGAAGATGTCGGCGTGGTCCACTGAAGCCCTCGACGCCTTCTTCCAGCTGCTACTGATGCTCGCCAAGGTCGAGTACAAAATGTTCGCAAAGTTGATGGGCTCGCAGTACGTCAGCGCCGAGCAATTGGAGGTGTTTATCACAGTGGCGGTGGACATGATGAACCAGGCTTCTAGTCGAGAGCTCGTCATCTTCGCTGCTGAACTGCCCGTCCACATCCGGAATCTGCTCTTCGAGATGCTCGTGGATCGACCGGAGAAGGGGGTTCTGCTGCGCATCATCAGCTACTCGACTCGGATTCCTCCCGAGTTGATGCACGTCCTGGTCGCGCTGCTCCACCGCATGTCGTGGGATATCCGTTCGTCTTTCGTCGAGCAGCTTCGTGCCTTGGACGGACCGAACGACGTACAGAACCTCGCAGACGTAGCGTCCAACCTCGAAGACAACGAGTCGCTCCGGCTGCTGGTTTTGCTCTTCAACCCGCTGCAAACCACCATCCGAGTGAGCCTCGTAGCCATTTTCCTGAAACTTACGGTCCGCGAGCGAGCATTGGCGCTCTCCAGCCTGGTCAAGATGCCCAAGAGCTCGGTGAGCGTATTCTGTACAGCCATGTGTAGCCCGAGCTGTGAACCGGTAAGCCCCTCATTCTGCCGCGTTATTGGGCTGGTTGACGAGGGGTACCATGCACCACTGCTCCGCTTACTGAAGAGCGAGCCGCAGTGGTTCTTCCTGCGTCTGATGGCCGAGTACTGCGACGTTGGTGAGAAGAGTCAAGCCGAAGTTACGGAGCTGCTGGATCGGGTGGCGAGGGTCGTCTGTATGTTCACAGTCGACGAGCATTTCTTGGTCTTGCGAGACGTGATCCGGGAGGCTTTGGCGGACGCGTTGGCTCTGAACGATATAGTGGCTGTGCTGTCGTTGTTCCCTGAGGTGACGAAGCTGCTCGACTTCCTCCGCTACGTCAGCGGGTTTGCCAAGTACGCGCGCTCGAGCCTGCTCTTCCGCGTGCTCTCGAAGTACGAGCAGCCCGCGTTCATCTTCGAAATGTGCCGCATATTGGACGTGGACGACGCCGTCTTCGCACTGAAAAGACTAGATCGAATGTGGCAGCGAAGACACCAAGAGCTGGACAAGGCGATGGAGCCCCTCGCCACTTTGTACGTCCATATTGTCTGCGTAGTTTAATGGTACAAACATTTACCAAATGATGTTACGACAGGTTCGCCGGGAGTAATGCACAAGTGAAAGACGACTTCTGTGACCTCATCGTAGGCTTCAGAGGGCTCTCAGCAGCTCTGGACGAGGCAAAAGCGAACGGGTCCGTCGACCGCGTGGTCACGCCACGAGTGACTGAGAGCGTCCCCGACAATGAGGCTGCAAGCGACACGGACGACGACGACAACCCTGACAGTCCCCTCCGACTTCCAAGCGCGACACCCCTGTCACACCAACCCGTTCCGCTCTCTCGACATCTGCAACGAACCAGGCCGGACCAAGCCTTCCCTCGCAAGCGAACCGAGCGGAAGGCCTGGTGGCAGGACCTCGATGACACCTCCTTCCTCTTCTTTTCGACGGCCGAGAACCAGCAATCACCAACACAACAAGCTCAAGACTCTCCAGTAAAGTCGCCGAAAAACCTCCCTCCTGTGTTCATCCGCACTGAGCAACCCCACACGACCAGAAGCAGCGAAGACACTGACAACCCCTCCGTCGAAAGTCTTCCCCAGATCGAGACACCGGCACCACCGATTCCACGAACCACGACCAAGCAGCAAGTACCAACTCGACGTGCAACTACAAACTGCGAGCCACGCGCTTGCAATGCGCCCCTCAGTCGGTCCGAGTCAGCACCAGCAACATTAACCTTCGAGAACGAGAGTCCGTGGAGCAAGCAAAAGCGATCGCGCGGTGTGGCTGCAGCGCTCGACAGTCCGCTTGAGTTCCACGTCGGGCGGGATAAAGGCGCCGACTTCCTCCAGAAACAGCGCGAGCGCGTCTATCAGGAGAAGGGAGCGTCACGTATTCGGCACGCCAGGACCCCAGCGGCACTAGCGCATGTCATGGAGGCCCGCGTGAACCGAGCGCTGGGCATGCGTCAGCTGACTCTGCACACTGCGTTGTCGCCGCTCTCCCGCCCTGACCCGCACACGGTAGAAAACGCAGTAGTGATGCTAGCAAAGGCAGCACAGCTTCGGGAATCCACGCCGCAAGGCTTTATTACGGAGCCTCCCACGCGAGGCATTCCGCCAGTGAGGCATCACACACGCACGCTACCAACCAGTCCGCCAACTCCAGCAACTAGTTTGTCTCCGCACCTGAAACTCGACAAAGACGTCAGCTGCGAGCCTCTTGCTCCGTGGTGATGCGGGTATCGATGTTCGACCACGTGTAGTGGAGCGCCAGGCGGAGCTGCGTGATCCGAGTCCCCTCCCGCGTGTTCCTGCTGGACGATACAATGGCGTGGAACTGGCAAATGTCGTGCAGCAGCATCCTGAAGAAGCTGTCGCGCATGGCCAACGTCAGTGTACTCGTTGAGACCTCCCACTTGCGGAATTGGGACTCGTCCACACACGGCTCCAAGTCCTGTTGGAACACGGCGATCTGCGCGCGACACGCCTCCGTCTTGCGCTGAGCGAAGAGAACCACAATCTCCTCGAGACAGAAGAGGAAGCGACGGTGAAGGAAGCGCTCAAGGTTTCGCGTAATGCAGCCAGCAGTGACGGCGAATCCCTCGGCGGCCTTTTTCTTCTTGGGCTTCCTCTTGCGCTGGGTCTGCGACCCCGGCGTGGCTTCACTCCGCTTGCGTTGCGCTTCTTGCTCCCTGTTGAGGGTCTCAAACAGATCCTCCAGCGTGTTGGAGTCACAGTGGCGCAGTAAAATAGTCGACTTGAGCTTCCTCTCGCGCTCCCGCGCTGCTTCTGACACAGGTCTCTCTCCGCGCGCGTGCAGGTCGTCGCACGTTTTGCTGTTCATGAAGACCCGCGCCTCCCCCACCGCCCGCATCAGAGCTACGAGCGGCTCCCTCTCCGGAATCTTGGACGCGCGCGACGCGGAAGTACTGAACTCGCTTTGACTAGCGAATGCCGCGTCGTACAGCGCAGCGCAAATCGCGTTCACCAGCAAGTTGCTGCGGCGGTTGGCCGCGGTCGACGTGGTCGCAACCGCGCTGTGGAAGCCCACGAATGCGCGCAAAGTGTTCGCGCGTCCGTGCTCCTGTTGTATCCGTCGAGCCGCCACTTCCTCCTCTCCTCCCGCTGCGTCCTCTTCAGAATCCATCGCCTGCGCAATGCCCAGCGCAGCAGCACATGCCGCCAGGTTCGCAACGGAGAGCACAAGCTGCCTTTGCCGCGTGAGTCTCGCGGGCGTGACCATCTCCGACCGCTTAATTTTCTGCTGAGCTCCGAGCGTCACATGCGGCAGCGCGAGCGACAAGCTCATGCGCTCCGAGAGCACCGCCATGCCGTAGATCTTGAATACCTCAAAGATCTCGCTCGAAGTTCGCAGTATATGTTGCTCGTCCAGCTGCAGCATGGCCAGCCGCACGCGCTGCGCCGCCGTCAACTCCGTCTCTCCCCCATCCACCAATACGTCCACCCGATCACTGGTCGTCACCGTCTCAGCAGCTGCAAAATAGTGGTGCACTCCGTCACCTCTCGAGCTTCCTGCTCCTTTGTACTCCTCAATGAGGTCTGTGTACGCGCGCTGCTCCTGGTCCTGATCCTGCTCTTGCTCCGCGAAGACCTCGTGCTCGAAGACGCCGTCGCGCACCTGCAGCTCGCCCGTGGCCTCGTCCAGCTGCTCCTGCGGCAGACACGCGAACGGGTTGAAGGCGACGGTGAGCGGGCCTTTGGCCGCCAGCATCGTCTCCCCCTTCTCCTCCGCAGCTTTAGTCCGCTCGGCGAAGTGCAGGTGCAACATGGTGGCCAGCAGCGCATCCAAGTGCGCCCGGTAATTGGTGGGGTCTGAGATCAACTGCAACTTGGACGGGGTCTGCTGCTGGTGCAACTTAAGCACCAGCTCGCCCACGACGGCCTCCACCACGTCCGCGCGCTGCTTCTGCTTGAGTCTGGCACTATTACTGCCGTCCGCCTCTGTCCGCCGCACGGTGGCGTAGCCCATGGCGTCGTACACTTGCGCTAAGTTGCGGTTAGTCACCACCGCCAGCCTTAAGTTGCGGAACACGCGCGCGCTCAGCGGCGCGTGGTGGAACTGTGACAGCAGGCAGCGGCCCACGAGCTCCCCGACCACGGCGTCGCCCAGCCACTCGAACACGTCGGCCAGCGCCGCGGCGCCCGCGCGGCTCTGCAGCGCCTGGAAGTGGGCCACCGCCTCGGCCGACGACCCCGCGCTGGATGCCTCCTCGCGGCGCGTCTTGGCGCGCTTCACGCGCGCCTCCACGTCGCCCTCGGAGAAGGACCGGCGCCGGTGCGAGTGTCCAGCAGCTCCTCCTCGGCGCTTCCGGGTCATGAGTGTGAATGGCAAGTGCCCATTTTATGGGACCAAGTACGAGAATAGGCATGCTACGGCTTTTTACTTAAAAATCAAAGTTACCATAATTATTTTGTTATACAATGATTGTGCCCTCGACAGCTACTTCTGGGGTTATTAGGCGTACAAAGTTATCTGGGATTCCAGCAGGCTCTTGGTACATCAGCGTATTCCCATCACACGTGAAAATAATCGAACCTTCAAAACATACACATGGATTTCATCCGTACACATGAAAACAGCCAACATCTCACACACGTGAAAAAAAAAACACCCGTTGTAAACTGGTGGGGGAATTGTGCATATCGTAAACTCAAGCTACAATCTATCTCGCTTCGCTTGTCCTGCCTGTGTCTGAGTGGCGAGCTTATACTGGGATTGGAAGCAACGTTAGTGCTGCTATCGCAGACCAAATAGGATTATATCCGTGGTTCATCAAGTCAAACGATGAACCCTCCTGACATCTACTGGTATATATTCTTGAAACCGGTACGACTCCTGTGGCGTTTATATGTGTGGGCAGATCGCACCGGTAGGATACTTATCACACTGGTATGACCCCGGTGCCGCACTGGGTCCGTTTATATGCGTAAACAGATCGAACCGGTGTGCTACCGACAACACTGGCATGAAGCAGTAGAGGAACAAAATGAAGTGAAAAGACCAATTGAAGCAGACTGTGCAATAGCACTAGTTTGTATTTCTTACAAGCTCCACATAGATCTCAACCAAAGCTCGAATTTTTAAGTTTGTAAAATAGAGAGTTTTCGCAGTTTGCATTTCCCATTCCCACAGAGCTCTGTGGGAATGGTGAAGAAAACTCTAGTCAACGCATTTCGCTCGAAGTCTTTTCCCACAAGCATTGCCCCCTCAAGAATGATATGTCCATCGGATGGCTGTTGCGGCACTCACGATATTGCCTCGCAATGGAGACTGTTGTGCTAGCTGCTGCAAGCAGCTCTGTCGACGTCGGCCCTGCTCTGCTGCTGCTGTTAGCGAACAACAAGCACCGTGAGCGCCCCGAGCGCCCCATCATCCCCTCAATCCGCTTCGTGTTGAGCAGCAAGTCTGATGTCAACTGCGTCAAGGACTTTAGGTTCGAGAGAGCGGCTATCTACCAGCTCGTGGAGCTATTTGCGCTACCTGAGTATGTCATCACCGCTCATCGCGACAGGCTGCACCGCACAGAGGCACTATGCATACTCCTCTATCGCACAAGCTACCCACGACGGAACTACGCGCTTGAGCCGTCTTGCCGCTCAGCTTGTCATGAGAGAAGCTTGCATCACTTACCAGCTGAGCGGCAAGAGCGTCCCATGCGGTGTAATGGGCCTACTTTGGCTCACTACTTTAGCTTACACGTGTGCGCGTGTATGTGAGGAAGCGTAGCTTAGTTTAAATTAGAGTTAATTATACTCGGGCCTCCGAGTATAGATTAATCTAAATAAACGATCCAAATAATGTTTTTGGGTTAAAATGAGAACTGCTATTTTTGTTTTATGTTTCTGACTTCCTCTAAATGTAATATTCTAAGATAGGAATCTGCCAAAGGCTGGTTGGAAGAATTCCAATGCTATGCATGTCGCTCATTGGCTAAGAGATGCTGCTCTCAGCCAATAGGAATCCTAAGTCTCTATGGACCACCCGTCGTGGTGGTCGTAAATGTATGTAGCCTTTGGTGTGTCTACACCAAGGTCGAGAAAGTCTTTCGAACCTCTAACAGACGTCGTATCTGTTAGAGTTACAAGTGACTGTAGCCACTTGTGCGTGTAACCCTGTTACACCATCCCCCCCTCAAGGTTAGACGCGCCGAGTCACGGCACGTCAATCAGGAAATTGACCATTCGTCAATTCTTCACGTTGGGAGAAATAAAACTCGAGCTTATTCCGCAATGAGCTCGCCGCAGAAGAAGACCGCCGCCGCAACAGAGGGTAACCTCTCTGTTGCTCAGTACCATGAGCACCAGCAGGCAAAGCGCGACGCGCTCGCTGCAAAGGCCGCGTCGGGGACAACTCAGTCGGAGATTGTCCTCGAAGGTTCCTCTGTAGTCAACGACGCCGTTGACTATGGGAGTGACGACGTAGAGATGGAAGAGGGCGAGGCCTCTTCCAACAAACGCAAGGAGTCTATCGACAGTGATAGTCTCGACCCGCATGCCGGGCCGAGACGACTCGGACGCTTCGAGCTCGAAGCGTTCGCGCGGCGAGAGCGAAACTCCGCTCTCCGCTGCTGGGGCTTTAAGCTCCCCGCGTGAGGTGGCGTCTTCAAGTTCTCCGCGCGCTGCTCAGGCAGCGCGCGATCCGTGGATGCCGTCTGCGTCAGAGATCGCAGACCATGTGGGCAACACCGTGCCTCCAAATGAAATTCCGCTGTACGTATGCAGCGGGATCCACGATGATGCTGTGGCGGAGGAGCAGCACTTTGACCCGTTAACGAATCAAAGGGCCGATTACTATATCGGGCTCTTTCACGAGCTCCGATACTTCTCCAGCAAGAAGACCTCTTCTCGCAGCAAAGTGCCTGAGTGGCAGGCACTTTGTCAAAGTTGGAATGCTTTTGTTGAGAACTTCAACAAGAAGACGGCTGCTTACCGTGAGCGGGTTAAGCATGCCCGTGAGCGCTTCGAGACATTCTCGACGCGCGGGAGGCTGGAGCAGCTCCACAGATCCTCTGTGGACGCTGGTATTCCATGCGCTGTACCCGAAGGCCATCAGTGCACGTTGTGTCTTCCGGGTGCGGCGCGCTTGAGCGACCGCGACCTAAACGGGTACACGACGATTCGTGTACCTGCGAGTCTCAAGGATCTCCGTGCCAAGTTCTTGGCACGTGAGGAACGCGACGGTCGTGGGGCCTCGGGCGCTGTAGGTGACCACAGCGCTCGCACTACCTTCGCGTCGGCAGTGCGTGGTGAGCTTCGTACTCCCTCACCATTTCCGGAACGTCCTGCAGCAGGACGTCCCGTGGCTCCCATGTATCTTGGTGGGGCGGAAACCCTCTCCAACGAATACGATAACGAACCGGCTGCCGGTTCATTTTCGGGATACTATTGTTCACAATACGCTCAACAATCCAGCGTGTTGAGCCGCGGGCGTCGCGGATCGGAGGCGGCGGTGGTGGGAACACGCCCCGGGTATGGTCAACCTGGTGTTGACCTTGGCCCGACGCTCGAGGAGCGGGTCGCTGCTGTGGAGCAGCTTCGCCGCTCTGAAGCAGGAGATGGCGACCCTGAGAGCTCAAGTTGCTCAGGCCTCGCAGACCGCGTCGGACATCTCTGCCGACGTGGGAGGTCGCGTCGCACGCTTGGCCCAGCGCGTGAACGCGCTGGAGCAGAGGTTCGCTCCCGCTGGGGCTTCCGCTTCGGGCCAGCCGAGCTAGGTGGCTCGTGCTGCCAGTATAGCTTCAGCCGCCCGACGTAAAAGGTCGGATGGAGGCGCATGCTAGATGGAATATCTAGCGTGTAGGCGTTGTCATGCCGTGCCGACACCGTGGACGGCCCGATGAAGCGCGGAGCGAGCTTGCTCGCCCCGAAGTCGGAAACTGCATGTTTAGGCAGGTTTTGAGTTGCTAACAAAACCAATGAACCCTTCTTGAATTCATTAGTGTTGCCCCTACCAACATTGTCTGCGTTCAGCTTCTGTCGGTCGACAGAAGCTGCGATAGCGTCTTGGACAAACCGAATGACGGCTTGTCTGCGCTGAACTCGTTCAGCTCGTTTCTAGCAGTAGGCCCGGCCTCTGCGTTCGTCTTCGCGGTGTCTGTGCCCTGCACAGACCCGTTCTTCTTCTTTTTGCTCTTGTCGGCGTCTGTGCCCTGCACAGACGCGTGCTTCTTCTTGTTGTTGCGCGTAGTCGCGGCTGACACTGTGCAAGTGTCAGCGGAATTCTTCGGCTGCTGTGTTGCAGTCGTAGATCCTCCCCCACTTAAGGAAGGAGCCACCATCCCGAGTAGACTCGGGAGGCGTGGGTGCCTGATGGCATTCACGTAGAACGGTGTATGCCCGGTCGAGGCATGCACCGAGTTGTTGATGGCGAACTCCGCCATCGGCAAGCACTCGCTCCAATGTTGGAACGAGTGAGCGTAGCGCTTAAGCACGTCTACGAGCACGCGGTTCACGCGCTCGGTCTGCCCGTCCGTCTGCGGATGGTCTGCAGTCGACATCGAAAGTTGACTCCCAAGAAGTGTAAACACTTCTTGCCAAAGGTGTGCAGTGAAGCGCGGGTCTCGATCCGACACAATGTCGATCGGCATGCCATGGTGTTTGAACACCATGTCAACGAACAGACGCGCCGTCTGTTTCGCAGTCACTTCAGCGGGTACTGCAGCAAGATGTACCATCTTGCTGAAGCGGTCAACAAAGACCACAACGCCCGTGTTCCCCTGGCGGTCCGGGGGAAGACCGAACACGAAGTCCAAAGACATGGACTGCCAACACTCCCGTGGAGTTGGTAGTGACTGCAAGGGAGTCTGCGCGAAAGGCGCAGGCTTCACACGTTGACAAACCTCGCAAGCACGGACGTACTTGCGCACCCATTTATACTGGTGGGCCCAGTAGAAGTCTCGCGTGAGAAGAAGGTGTGTCTTCTCACGGCCCGGATGCCCCGCAGTCGCTGCATCGTGATACTCATACATGATCCTGAGTCGCAGATCATGGTCATTGGGCACGACAACGCGGTCCGCGTTGTCGTCGACTGCACTGTAGAGTAATAACCCATCGTGCACCCGGTAACGGTGTGCACGAGCACGAAGATGCTTCGGCAGCTTCTGACGAGCTTGGTCAGAAGGCGCTGAGCCGTAGGCCAGCAAGAGCTTCGCGTCCGCGTCGTGCGCGTACGCGACCTTCACGTCGTCCAACAGTGACGACGTCGGGGTGCTCGATCGCATGGCGTCAATGGCATTGACATCGGCATCAGCCGTGGCGTAGTCAGGTCGACGCGAGAGCGCGTCGGCCACCACATTGAGTCTTCCGGGTTTGTACTCAACCCGGAAGTTATACTCTGCGAAGAATGGGAGCCATCTCGCCATCCGTTGCGAGATGTGCGGCGACTTCACAGCCGTCCGCAGCGACGCGTGGTCCGTATAGACCCCGAACGGTTTGCTTCCGAGTAGATACACTCGGAACTTCGCGAGTGCGTACTTCATGGCAAGGAGCTCCTTGTCATGTACCGGGTAGTTGCGCTCAGCTGGCTTCAGCTGACACGATTGGTGTAGACGACACGGTCATGACCCTCGTGATCGTGCTGCATCAACGCACATCCGATTGCGAAGTCGGATGCGTCACACACAACGTGGAATGGGCGATCTTGGTCGGCCACCGCCAAGATCGGCGCCTCAGTCAAGCCCCGCTTGACTGCATCGAAGGCCTGCTGACACTCAGCAGTCCAAACCCACTCGGCGTCCTTCTTCAGGAGCTGTGACAGCGGGCGTATCATGCCCGCGTAGTCCTTCACGTACTTGCACAAGTACGTGGCCAAGCCAAGGAACTGCCGCAGTTCCTTGACGTTCGACGGCGTCGGTCACTCTGACCTTCTTAGGGTCAGGGCGGACGCCGTTCTTCCCGACGAGACACCCGAGCACGGGTATTTCGCTCGCCCCGAAGATGCACTTCTTCAGGTTCGCATAGAGCTTGTGCTTGCGCATGAGCGCAAGTAGCTTCCAGAGATGCACCTTGTGCATCTCAACATCGCTTATCCCGTCCACAGCCCGGCTGTGGACGAACACATCGTCGAAGTAGCTCGGTGCGAAGTCGCGCACCGAGCGCAACAAGTGCGTCACGCACCTGTTGAAGGTCGCAGGGGCGTTCTTCAGACCCTGCGACATCACTAGCCACTCCCAGAGCATGCCGCTCGGCGTGCTCACTGCCGTGAGAGGGATATCGCTCTCACGCATGAGGATCTGATAGAACCCATCGCGCAGATCAAGAGCACTGTAGATAGTGCTCCTGGCCATCGAATCGATGATAACATCTTTTCGAGGTATCGGCGTCTGCGCCGGTATCGTCGCATCGTTCAGCTTGTTATACGCATGAACGATGCGCCAGCCGCCCTGTGGCTTCTTGATACAGAACGTCGGAGCACTGTGCGGGGATTTCGATTCCCGCACTTGTCCAGCTTTGCGACGACTTTCGAAGAAGTCGTCGATCGCTTTGACCTGCTCTCGCGGCAGTGGCCACTGCCGCGTGACACAGTACTTCGTCCCCGCCACGAGATCAATCTCGTGCTGGATGCCCTTGTCCTGCGGAAGCTCCGCAGGAATCTCTTCCGGAAGTACGTCCGCGTACTCCCGTAAGATCTCGTAGTAGGGACTCGTTTTCAATGAGTCCCAGCTCTGCTCTTCAAAGCGCTCCTTCGTCGTCTTCGCACTGAGAGTGTCCTCGCTCTCAGTGGTGGTCTTCATGAAGAACTGCCTCAGTTCTTCATTCTCGCTCTTCGTTCTCTCGGCGTCCGAGAGAATGCATATTTGCTCGATGCGTCCATCGTGCAAGTCACGCGCGAAGCGCTTCCAGCTCAGGACTGGAAGCGAAGTCAACTCCGACGCTTGCGTCGGAGGGTTAGCGAGTGTCATCTCCCTGTACCGGAACCCGGCACAGGTACGCGTCAAGACGTTCAACGTCCGGCTTCTCAGCCTCCGTCTGCCCGGCAGACATTCCTTGTAGCGTCTCGGACCCAGGCCGAGACTTGCGCAGCGACCTTCGCATGCGCCGACTTCTTGTTTTGCGGAGCCCGGCTCCGCTTGGTTCTTGACCTCGTCCAGGCCCAGCCGTGGACGGGTGTTCTTCTTTAGTGCCGCCGGCGGGTTCATCCCGCGGGCGAGCGACTTCAAGCCCGGCTTGGTCACCCGGCGCTTCGTCGTGCAGCCCGGCTGCACGACAGCATGCAAGTTTTTCCGGTGCGGGACGTTTGCAACCGTCCGCACCGCCTGCAGCGTCGGCTCCCGGAGCCGACACGCCATCTTTACCTCGACGCCTGTTATTGGCGGAGACCCCCATTAGGGAGGGTGCGTTGGCTCCCCGAGCCGACGAATCAAATTCACCAAAGCCATCGACTCCCGGAGTCGACGGCGTTACGTCACCTTGGCTCTTATTATTGGCCAGGACCTGATCCAATCAGATTCGCGTCAGCCTCCACGGCTGAGGCGTGTGACTCGTCTGCGTCATCCGTGCCCCTTGAGGTCGGAGACTCTTCCTGATTCGCTGAAAAGCGGGTGTCGATCTCCGAGATCAACACATTTTCTCCTTCAGCCGTCGGCGGCGACGCCGACGCTTGCTGCTCTTGCGTGCTCGCGCGCGCCCAGGGCGTTCCGGGACAGCGGCATTAGGCGCTGTCTCGAGTGGGGAGTCGCGCGCACCTGTCGGTGCGTGCGTAGCGGCAACAGGGCCATCGCTCACTGTTCCGCTGTCGCGACCGAAGCGCACGAGAGTGCGCTTCTCCCAATCGATGACCGGATCATGTCGTGCAAGCCACGGCATGCCCAATACAATGTCAAACTTATCGTCTAGATCCAGGACGATAAAGGTCTCGACAAACTCTTGATCTTCATACGGGTAGCGCACGCGTACCATGCGCTTTTCGGTCTTCACGATGGCACCCGTTGCCAGTCGTACTTCCAACATACTTCGAGGTATCTTTAAATCCTCGAAGTCAAGCCTTGATAGACTTCGCAGTCAAACAAAGTTCTTCGACGCGCCAGAATCTACCAAAGCACGGAGAGAGCCGCTTGCTCTCATCGAGTTCACATTCAGGATGACAAGGTCAGGCTTGTCATCTTGGTTCTTGCAGTGAGAATGAACCTCACTGGGGGCTGCAGTCCTCAGTGTCGCGTGTCCAAGGTCGACACGCGGAACTGCATTACCAGTAGGGCGCCCCGCGCCTACTGGCGTCCAGCGTTTTTTGTTTGGTTGCGACGGTGCCCGGCACCGCCGCGATAGCCACCCTGCTGGTGCACGGGGGCCGTGCACTCCCGAGCAAAGTGACCGATTCTACCACAACGGTAGCATCGCACATTGTTTCCCTGCGACTGCTGGGGTCCAACAGTTGCAGCACACGAGAGGTCCATGGGTAATGGGCCTCCCGTCCTCACTACCGGGCGTGGCTGTGGCCTCGGCGCATGTGCATGCAGCTTAGCCTGCCGCAGGCTAAACTCCTCCTGCATTGCAAGAGTAATTGCAGCTTCGAGAGTACTCGGGTACTCACGGAAGAGATAGGTCTTCACAGGCCCATCTCTCAGCCCCTTCATGAACGTGACGACCTTGGTCGCCTCGTCGATCGGATTGGTCACGATGTTCGAGACCAAGTACCGTGCTCTCTGAGCGTAAGCATGGACATCATGCTTGCCCTGCTGCAGGTCGAGGAACCCCGCCCTCGACCGGAACTGGTTTTGCGGTGGCTCAAACGCTTGTCTGAGCTCTTCCTTGAAACCCTCGTACATGCTAAAGCACGTAGGATCCGAGAGTCGGCGTCCATACGCCCAACTTCTTGCACGTCCGCCAAGACATGACATGGCGAACGTGACCTTCGACAACGGGTCGACGATGCGTCGAGCCGCAATGGCAGTGTCGAGTTCGACAAGCCAACGGAGAAGAGGCCCGCCCTCTCTTCCAACGAAATTGCTCACGCTGAGCTTCAGCGATTGCGCGCGCGGTGTCGTCGGGGACGACACCGTGGTAGACGAAGCAGCATCTCGCTGCTCCCTCATGATGAATCCCAGAGCAACACCATGTTGCTCTGTCGGCGTTAGCGTACGCAGCATCGTAGCTACAGCCGCCTCACCAATGACTGTTGACAGTCGTTGGAGAGCTTCCCACTCTGGGTCCGACAGGTGGGGACAGTCAGCGCGTGCAACGTGAGTTGCAGGCGTAGTGGAGCTTTCCATGGACACCTCCGTATCGATGGGAAGGTTCTCAGCTCCGCGTTCGTGCGGTGACGTACGAACTCAGGTAGTCGGTCGTTGGACGGACTACGAAGTGCTACCAGGTGCAATGGGCCTACTTTGGCTCACTACTTTAGCTTACACGTGTGCGCGTGTATGTGAGGAAGCGTAGCTTAGTTTAAATTAGAGTTAATTATACTCGGGCCTCCGAGTATAGATTAATCTAAATAAACGATCCAAATAATGTTTTTGGGTTAAAATGAGAACTGCTATTTTTGTTTTATGTTTCTGACTTCCTCTAAATGTAATATTCTAAGATAGGAATCTGCCAAAGGCTGGTTGGAAGAATTCCAATGCTATGCATGTCGCTCATTGGCTAAGAGATGCTGCTCTCAGCCAATAGGAATCCTAAGTCTCTATGGACCACCCGTCGTGGTGGTCGTAAATGTATGTAGCCTTTGGTGTGTCTACACCAAGGTCGAGAAAGTCTTTCGAACCTCTAACAGACGTCGTATCTGTTAGAGTTACAAGTGACTGTAGCCACTTGTGCGTGTAACCCTGTTACATGCGGCCATTGTCTTGCCTCGCTCGTTCAGAAAAGGGCGATTGCTCAGCGCCTGGCGAAGAAGTGCGAGGTCCTCCTCCGCGGAGAAATTGCGCCGCTTCGGGCCCATCGTTGTTAGCTGGCTGATCTCGTTGTGAGGACAGTTTTCTCCAAAGCCACCAATTCTGTAACTCTAATTCTCTACCGAGGGCTGGTGGAGCCCGTTTTTTGTTGCTTTGTGCGGGAATGGGAATAGAATCCCTGCTGCGAAATATCTCTAATAGAGATATTTCGCAGCTTGACAGCTTGAACTGGCAAATTCTTGGGCAGATGCTGTGGCTGCGAAGCAAGCGCAGGAGATGGCCGTGGCTAATAAGAAAAGAAATTAAAAAAAAGGTTTATACCAAAATTCTCCTATCCCAGCCTTCGCGGAGCCCTATTATCAGATGTGCATGTTTGCGGCCGCGCTCCACAGGAGCGCGGCCGCAAACAATACGTACAGAGCGAGTGGTTAAAAAGTGAGTGAACTCCACTATACCCGTTCCATCATTAAACACGCCTGTACGTTAAAACTCATCCAACGTTTTTTATGGGTTTTGAAGGCATCAATTTGAAAAAATAATTATAATATTCCGTTTTTGTTATTATGTGTGAGAATAATGTACAATACTTCGAACTATTGAAAATGTAGCTCCAAGAATAATTGCAAAAAGAATCAATACCATTATGGAACTTAATTTTGAGTCGGTTACTTTTGAATTTAGATTCGGTCACTTTAAATTTTAAATGCCTGATCGGTTACTTATGTCTTAGAGAGGCTCCTTGACTACCGGAGCGAGGCGGAGGTCTGTAAGGGGCGGCGCGTAGGCCGGAGGAGTTGCACTGCAATGTAGGTTCTATCTTTAGATGCGAACAGGATGCACACCGGAGCGTAACAGAGGTCGTGCGCTCCGCAGTCCACATAAGTTACATCATCTCGACTGACTCAGCCATGTGTGCGGGAGTTGGCGACGGAAAAGATGCTTCTAAAGGAGAATCCGGTGGCCCACTCATCGCTAATGGCGTGCTAGTCGGAATCGTGAGCTCTGGTGCTGAAAACTGTGGTGAGATGCCTGGACTGTACACCCGCGTCGCCGGTGGCTACGACTTCATCCACGACATCCTGGACGGCGGCTCCAGCGACAATGTCACCGTGCTGCTTACCCCGGAAGACGACGCAGAGTCTTCTGGAGTAGCTGAATAGCAACAGCAACCGAACATGTGCCACGGTAGGAGTGCTTAAAGCAATGAAGTGTAGTGTGGTGGTTCGTCCCTCCCCTGAGGAACACGAGCACGATCTGCGAAACAGCGTCCAGGTCGTGATCGACTTGACGGAGTAGCTGGTGTGGCACACCGAGCAGCAGTTGGTGACGAAGAGTGTGGGGACGGCGGCTAGTGGTGACGGAAGCGAGCCAGTGGGCTACCGTTACGTGCGACAGGAGGTAGCAGTTGAAGTTGACGGCTGCGGAAGATTGCAAGGCGAGGTGACCTGCGAACAGGACAGAGAACTAGTATGCAGAGAGGAGAGGTGACGCTGGAGAGCGAGCGTGAGGCCAGGAGGCCACGAGGAAGGAGATGAGGGCCCGAGAGGGAGAGGTCCAAGTAGGCTAGAAGGCGCCGAGTGGATAGGATAGGGTTGATGGACGGGGGTTAGAAGTAAGTGAGGGCAACGAACTGCGGTGTGGCAGCTCGACCCTCAGTTGTGATTTGTTGCTGGATAGTGACGAGCCAAGACTTGTAATACACTCAGTTGCGCCGAAACGCGGGTTCCTGTGACCTAGTACCAGGGAAGTGTCTTGCGACCAGGGAAGTGTCGGCTAGATACGGGAGTAAGTGGCATAAGGTAAGCGATAGTGGCGGGCGGTGCACAGATGAGGGCGATGTATTGAGTAGGGTGGCGGGACCACGGAGAGAAGCCGTGGGGGAGCGCGAGGCGCACTGCTGGCAGCACCTTGGCCGTGAAGGACAGCGCTTTCGAGTGCTTGGGCGTGCCCGAGTGCCGTGACGAAGATGCTGTTCGACCTGTTTGCATGTCCGGTAGGGGTCGCCTGTGGCTTGCCGGAGCCCAGGTCAATTGTATTTCCCCTCCCAGCTGTCCCTATCTCCGACACGCCTGGTGAAGGGGCCAGTATCTGTCTGGTTGATCATCGTACTGCCTCGTACCTGCTGGCAGTCTTGACTTGACGGAAACTGGAGGCGGCGGCGGACACGGTGGCGCTGGTACTGGACGCGCATCGACCCCACCACCGACACTGGGAGCAGCGAGAATGAGAGCGGCGGCGGCATCCATCGTCGTCCGTGAGAAGGCGAAAGAACTGAAGTTGACGAAATTCAAGGGGCTTGACGACACGATGCCCGTGAGCATGTGGCTCAAGACGGTGCGTCAGGAGGTGCGTCGGCAGGCGGTCACCATGGGCGTCGAGTGGAACGAGAATCAGCTACACCACGAGGTCGCTCCGCACTTGGAGGGCGAGGCGAAGCGCTGGTTCGCGACCGTGATGGAGTCGGTGCAGCCGGAAGAAGAGAGCATCAACACGCTGGCAGCGATGCTACGCGCGAAGTACATGACGCAGCGGTCAGGCCCCGAGGTGGTCGACTTGCTGAACGCGCGTCGGCAGATGAGAGGAGAGCGACTCGTTGACTACGCGCAGGCGCTGCGCGAGATCGCCGAGCGTGGCGAGATCGGCGACGACTGGCAGGCCAGCGCGTTCTTGAAAGGCATGAGCAGCACGAAGGGGCGGCGCACGTGCGCGGACACCGGCCGAAGGCGCTGGACGAAGCGCTGAGTGTGGCGATTCCCCAGGTCGGAGACTACGGCGAAGGGTACGGGATCAGACTGGACGAGGCGATGGCCTCGTGGGACGCACGCGAGGCCACGAGTGGGCGCGGGCCCTTGGCGGCGGCGAAGGCACGTGGCGGAAGAGAGTAGTCGGCAGTTGGCGGCAACACGTGGAATGTGGTCTCGGGGTACGGACCCGGCTGGGGCGCCGCTCCGAAGCCACCACGGTACGATACTGAGGGAAGACCGGTGGATACCGGTAAAGACAGTGAGGGTGAGTGGTGGAAGGCCATCCCACCTGGTTTTCAACTGGTACCGGCCGGTACTTCAAGTGGTACCACTGGCGGGTCAAAATTTCAAACCAATGGCAGGCAGACGCGCGTTGGGAGCGGTAAGTGGCCAGCGAGCGACCAGAACACGAAGAAACCGGCTAAGACCTTTAAGGTCGAGAGTAAGTACGGAGGAGGAGCGCATGGATCGGGTAGCGGCCCGAGCAATCCGGCGCTGGCTACTCGAGAAAGACGACTGCGCAACCATGAGCGCTACATGACAAGCAGGGCGCCACAGCGAGCGTTCGTACCGAGAGAGGGCACAGAGCGCTATTACTGCGGCTTCACGAGGCACTTCGCGCGCAACTTCACGCTGAAGCAAGCCACCTTGGGGGCGCGATGGTGGCGTCTTAGAAGGCAGAGAACGACGAGAACGGGTCGGGAAACGGTCCGCGAGCATAAGATCCCCGGTCTTACCGCTCGCAAGACCTGATCCGGGTAAGAAGTTGGCAGCAGGACGAGGGCGGGCCAACGGGCAGCAGCAACAGCTCCCGCGTGGCGCTGCGAGGACGAGTGCAACGGCGATCAGAAGCCGGAGCAGCGGAGTGAAGAAAGTGGCGGCCGGAGCGGCGAGGAAGCAAGTCCGGCACGGCGTGGTTGAGACTGGGGATGGCGGTGTGCTGCATGCGCGGTATGCTGCTGGTGGACAAGCGGCTCTGCAGTCTGGGGATGGCGCGACACATACAGTGCCCGTGGCCGTCACAGCGGCGGATAATAAAGAGTTGACGAGCACGGGTGCGGAGCCGCGTGTGGTGACGGAGACGAAGCACGTGCGGTTTGCGGTGACCGAGGACAGCGCTCAGGAAGAGTTCGTCAGCGAGGAGAAGACGCCGATGACGAAGACGGCCAAGGACAAGGTCGAGAAGGTCGTGGACGTGGGCGACGTCGGCGACACGGGCGCAGACAACAAGAAGCGCGCCGTAGTCGATTTGGCGTGCGCGAGCGTCAGAAAGTCGAAGGAGGAGCTGGAGGCTGCGGTGTCCAAGCAGCTGGACGATTGGCTGGAGCAGTTCGGCGCGGACGGCACGGCGGTCGATGTGGCGAACACCGACAACACGGTGACGAACGGCAAGGGGGGGGTGACGACGGCTCGCCCGAGTCGGTGCAGAAGGTGATGACGGCGGAAGTGTGGCGACAAGACGTTGTCAAGGCCAAGGTGCTGCGTGTGAAGGCGGCTGAAGTGATGCAGAGAGCTGTGCGTGCCGACGAGGAGGCACGGCACCTGCAGAAGCGACAGAAGCGGAAGGAGCGAGAGCGCGTGTGGCGTGAGCGACGTGCTGCACGTGGGCAACTCGACGGTGGGAAAGCAGGTGACGGCGCGAAAACTGTGGTGGTGGTGGGCGATGTGAAGGCCCGCAGGAAGCAGCCCGTACTCCAGTTCGTGGCAATGGCAACGGACACCGAGGTGACGGCGAAGAGCGACGAGCTCGTCCGCGTGTCGAGGACCAGACAGAGGTATGATAAGTTGGCGCGCAAGGCGAAGGCGCGTGAGGACCGGAAGCTGCGCGAGTGGCTAGCGACGCAGTCGTACCCGGACGAGACGTACATGGCGTTCGTGGACACGAAGCGACGGCGCGGCAAGGGCGGGCCACGACTGTTGAGTATCGAAGAGGCGACGGCGATCGGATTCACGCCGCCGAAGGCAACGACGGTGGTGACGAGAGTGGCACGGCGAAGGATGCCGAAGAGAAGCTACCAGTACGAGAGTGGCAGCGTCTACGCGTCCCCGAGTGTCGTGTGGACGGAGGACGGTGCGAGACCAGCACGAGTTGGACGACTACGAGCTGTGCAGGCCCTGGCGGTGGACTCACTACCAACGGCCAAGGTCGAGGTTGGAGACGAGTGGCGGGACATCAAGTTGGACACCGGCGCGCACTTCTGCGTGGCTGGCGAGTCGTGGAAGGAGTACACCGAGCGGCTCGGCACGCTGCCACCCGTAGACTTCGTCGAAGGGTTCACGGGTGCAGTGGCCAAGGTCGAAGGAGTGTGGCGGTTCAGATTCAGGAAGCAGTACGGGCAGAGCATGTTGGTGGACGCGCTGGTGGTCGAAGGCGCGGCCGAGGAGTTCTTGCTCGGCGAGGATTGGATGCTGACGAACGGAGTCAAGATCGACTTCACGTCCTGTGAGATGAAATGTTATGACGGAAACGACAAGAAGGTCGTGCCGTTCAGCTGCACGGCGGAGAGCGAGAGCGAGGAGAGAGCAGTAAAGGTCCGTCTGGTGCGGAAGGAGCGAGTGCAGACGCGAACGTGTCGTCGTGTGGAGCTGGCAGTGGCACCTGAGGGCACTGTGGGTTTGTTCACGCCCGCCCTCGGTATAGAGCCGCACCTGTTGCTAGCACCCACATTGACAACAATTCGTAATGACAAAGGGGTCGTTCCGATCATGAACTTGATAGGGCGTACCTCGAAGTTACCGTCTCGCGAGAAGCTGGGAACTTGGGCTCCGATAACTGAAGACACGCAGATCATGGAAGAGACCGGAGAGTTCGACAGAGAGAGCGTGAAGCAGTGGCTGCAGGAGAACGCACCTCTGAGCAATGAAGACGAGCTGAAAGTTGGAGACATGGACAACGAGGACAGGGAGTTGTTGTTGCGGATGTTAAGACACTACCCTACTCTACTGGAGCCACGTGAGGGGTGTCCACCTCAGACTACGTTGGGTGTGAGTCACGAGATTCATACTGGGAGTGAGCCACCGATCAAAGTGCGGTCACGACGGCACTCGCACTCGGAACAGGTGGTCATTGACGAACGGACGGACAAGGTGTTGGCAGACGGAGCGATCGAGGAGGCCAATGGGGCCTGGGGTTTTACTGTCGTGTTAGTGCGCAAGAAGGACGGCTCGGTCATATTTTGTATCGATTATCGCCTCCTAAATGCTATCACTAAGAAGGACGTGTACCCTTTACCTCGAATCGACGACACATTGGACAATTTGGATGGAGCGAGGCGCTTCACCAGCCTCGACTTGCACCACGCGGGGTACTGGCAGGTGCCTGTTGCAGAGAAGGATCGTGATAAGACCGGGTTCATCACAAGGAAGGGGTTGTTCCGGTTCGTCAGGATGCCGTTCGGGTTAGCGAACGCACCTGGCACATTTCAACGGATGATGGACGCTGTATTACGGGGGCTTACGTGGCAGAGCTGTCTAGTCTACCTAGACGATGTCATTGTGTTCTCGAGAGGCAGTGTAGTGCAGCATGTAGTGCAGCTGGCAGCGGTGATGGAGCGGTTGGCGAGGGTAGGCTTGTCGTTGAAGGCGAGCAAGTGCTCGTTTGCATCGGAGAAGTTGAATTATCTTGGACACGAGTCGGACGGCGCTGGAGTGCGCCCGATGCCGAGTTTGGTCGAGAGCGTGAAGAACTTCCCCACCCCCACTGATGCGACGGAGGTGAAGAGGTTCACATGGCCGGATACAACAGGGTTCGTGCCGGAGTTCGCTGCGAGGGCGGCTCCGATGACTAAGTTGTTACGGAAGGGAGTGGTCTGGCGCTAGGGAGAGTCTCAGCAGGCTGCTTTCGAGTGTTTGAAGAAGGCGTTGATGGAGAGGCCGCTGTTGGCTTATACTGACTTTACGAAGCCGTTCAGATTGGTGACGGATGCGTCACAGGTGGGGCTCGGTGCCACTCTTACCCAGGACAGGAGCAAGGCGAGCAGCCGACTGCCTATGCATCAGAATCAACTCGCCTGCTGTGGCAAAGTACTGCATAACGGAGTTAGAATGCGCAGCAGTGGTGTGGGCTGTAAAAATTTTCAGACCGTACCTCTATGGACGAAAGTTCGTGTTGATGACGGATCATTCAGCCTTGAAGTGGCTGATGACGTCGAAGGAGTTGACAGGGCGGTTGCACCGCTGGGCTTTACAGTTCCAGGAGTACGATTTCGAAGTAGTGTATCGCCCGGGCGCTGGCAACGTCGTGGCGAACACGTTGTCCAGGGCACCGGCGCGAGTCGTGACAGCTGCTGGACGAGGAGAAGTCGAGCAACGAGACGAAGGACGAGAAGCAGCAGGCAGTGACGACCAGCTGACGAACCAGATGATCAAGGACGAACAAGCACGGGATCGCACCGTGCCGAACTTGGTACAGAAGGGCAAGTACCGCGACAGAGAGATCGTGGTCGAGGACGGAGTGGTGCACATCGTGGAGTGTGACGGCAGCAAGCGGGTGGTGCTCCCCACCGCTCTGTGGGCAAGTGCTCTTCATGAGATCCATGATTCGATCTACGCGTGTCATCTGAAGACACTGCAGACGTATGCACGTGTTGCTAGGAGTTACTGGTGGCCGAATATGCAGGTGCATGTCCGCCGGTGGGTGCAGGCGTGCAGAGATTGCGGCACGCGGAAGGCGAAGGCCAAAGAAGTGATTCCACCGTTGAGGAGTCAGGGCGTTGGTTGCCCAGGTGATAGGTGGGCTCTAGATGTTGCGGGGCCTTTGCCGGTGACGGCAGGCGAGAATCGATACGTGGTGGCGGACGCGATCAGGTACACGGTGGCGGCAGCAGTTCCACGCCACACGGCGCCGGACATCGCGAAGTTCATCATGGAGAAGTTGGTCCTGGTGTTCGGACCGATGCGTGAGTTGGTGTTGGACGGAGCGCCGAAGTTGAGCGGCAAAGTTGGTGGAGCGATCCCACCGGAGCTGGAAGGACATGGTGTCCATCTTTGTGGCGGAAGCGCAGAACGACTGGGACAGATGGCTCCCCTGCGCGGTGTATGCATACAATGGGGCACGACACACGGCGACGGGCTTCAGCCCGAACGAGTTGATGATGGGTAGGCAGCTGAGGACGCCGAACGAGCTCTTGCGCACGGCGGGCGTGACGCAGGTCGGCGAGTTTGCAGCTTACCATCGCGCACTGGTGCAGCAGATGGCACGGTGTGCAGCGGCAGCGAAGGCGGCACTGGCGAAGGACCAGCTGCAGCGAGCAAAGTATTACAATAGATGGCAGAGGACGACAACGGAGTTCGGCGTCGGAGATTTGGTGTGGGTGCTCGGACCACCACGTGGTAAGGGCATTACCAAGCTTGCACACCAGTGGGTCGGCCCAGCACGTATCGTAGAGGACGCAGGCTTTGACAATTGGCGCGTGGTGCGCGAGGACACGGGTGAGCACCTCGTGGTGCATTGTAGTTTTTTGGTGACGAGTCGGTGTCCAAGCGACTCGCTCGGACACGTGGCGGATCGGATCCTGAGGGAGCTGGCCGAGGCCGAGGATAGCGCAGCGACGGAAATGAGATCAGGCGGCGGAGATGGCGCCCAGAGCAGGCAGCACGACGGTAGTGGCATGCGGATGCAGGACGTGGCTGGCGACAACGGCCAGACGGAGATTCAGTCGGCGGGCGTCGGAACGGAGACACAGGCGGAGACCAGTGAGCAACGGCAGAGTGCTGGAAGTGCAGCAGCCCCAGTGATGAGTCAGCGTACCGCTGGGTCAGAACCAACGGCGACGGGTCAGAGAGTTGACGCGGGGTCGGCGCCAGCAACGGCTCCGGCGGGGGCTCGAACTCCAGGAATAGCAGGGCGAGATGCTGCTGAGGCAGCAAGGCCAGCGGCGAGGAGGGAAGCAGTGGCAGACGCAGTGGATTCGCCACAAAAGAAGCGGCGTCGGAAGAGGAAGGTGTCGGTGGACGAAGAGATCAAGCGTGGCGATGAGCAGACCGTAGCACCCATGGCGCGGTATCCAGCCCCTAGCGATAGCAAGACCGGCTCGGAGGCGGCAACTCCGAGTGGCGCTGCTCTAGTTACGGCCATCCACAGCCTCCCAGTCGACCAATACCGGCGGAAACCCTCGGAACGGCCTCCATGTCTCCCTCCTGTCGGCTACTGACCGCTATCGTAGGTTTTAAGTACAGCTCTTTTTGCGTCACGGTCCTCCACCGCGTAGCCGCCTATTGAGGTCACGGCGACCACAGTTCGGAGCTTTGGCGGCGTCTGTTGTACGCGTGCACTCACAGAATCAAGCTCCGCAAGCGTGTCCGCGTCGGATTCCAAATGGCCGTTTGCACTGTGTGCGATTCCTATCGTAGGTTTTCAAATACAGCTCTTTTTGCGTCACGGTCCTCCACCGCGTAGCCGCCTATTGAGGTCACGGCGACCACAGTTCGGATCTTTGGCGGCGTCTGTTGTACGCGTGCACTCACAGAATCAAGCTCCGCAAGCGTGTCCGCGTCGGATTCCAAATGGCCGTTTGCACTGTGTGCAATTCCTATCGTAGGTTTTCAAATACAGCTCTTTTTGCGTCACGGTCCTCCACCGCGTAGCCGCCTATTGAGGTCACGGCGACCACAGTTCGGAGCTTTGGCGGCGTCTGTTGTACGCGTGCACTCACAGAACCAAGCTCCGCAAGCGTGTCCGCGTCGGATTCCAAATGGCCGTTTGCACTGTGTGCGGTTCCTATCGTAGGTTTTCAATACAGCTCTTTTTGCGTCACGGTCCTCCACCGCGTAGCCGCCTATTGAGGTCACGGCGACCACAGTTCGGATCTTTGGCGGCGTCTGTTGTACGCGTGCACTCACAGAATCAAGCTCCGCAAGCGTGTCCGCGTCGGATTCCAAATGGCCGTTTGCACTGTGTGCGATTCCTATCGTAGGTTTTCAAATACAGCTCTTTTTGCGTCACGGTCCTCCACCGCGTAGCCGCCTATTGAGGTCACGGCGACCACAGTTCGGAGCTTTGGCGGCGTCTGTTGTACGCGTGCACTCACAGAATCAAGCTCCGCAAGCGTGTCCGCGTCGGATTCCAAATGGCCGTTTGCACTGTGTGCGATTCCTATCGTAGGTTTTCAAATACAGCTCTTTTTGCGTCACGGTCCTCCACCGCGTAGCCGCCTATTGAGGTCACGGCGACCACAGTTCGGAGCTTTGGCGGCGTCTGTTGTACGCGTGCACTCACAGAAGCAAGCTCCGCAAGCGTGTCCGCGTCGGATTCCAAATGGCCGTTTGCACTGTGTGCGATTCCTATCGTAGGTTTTCAAATACAGCTCTTTTTGCGTCACGGTCCTCCACCGCGTAGCCGCCTATTGAGGTCACGGCGACCACAGTTCGGATCTTTGGCGGCGTCTGTTGTACGCGTGCACTCACAGAATCAAGCTCCGCAAGCGTGTCCGCGTCGGATTCCAAATGGCCGTTTGCACGGTGTGCGATTCCTATCGTAGGTTTTCAAATACAGCTCTTTTTGCGTCACGGTCCTCCACCGCGTAGCCGCCTATTGAGGTCACGGCGACCACAGTTCGGATCTTTGGCGGCGTCTGTTGTACGCGTGCACTCACAGAATCAAGCTCCGCAAGCGTGTCCGCGTCGGATTCCAAATGGCCGTTTGCACTGTGTGCGATTCCTATCGTAGGTTTTCAAATACAGCTCTTTTTGCGTCACGGTCCTCCACCGCGTAGCCGCCTATTGAGGTCACGGCGACCACAGTTCGGAGCTTTGGCGGCGTCTGTTGTACGCGTGCACTCACAGAATCAAGCTCCGCAAGCGTGTCCGCGTCGGATTCCAAATGGCCGTTTGCACGGTGTGCGATTCCTATCGTAGGTTTTCAAATACAGCTCTTTTTGCGTCACGGTCCTCCACCGCGTAGCCGCCTATTGAGGTCACGGCGACCACAGTTCGGATCTTTGGCGGCGTCTGTTGTACGCGTGCACTCACAGAACCAAGCTCCGCAAGCGTGTCCGCGTCGGATTCCAAATGGCCGTTTGCACTGTGTGCGATTCCTATCGTAGGTTTTCAAATACAGCTCTTTTTGCGTCACGGTCCTCCACCGCGTAGCCGCCTATTGAGGTCACGGCGACCACAGTTCGGATCTTTGGCGGCGTCTGTTGTACGCGTGCACTCACAGAATCAAGCTCCGCAAGCGTGTCCGCGTCGGATTCCAAATGGCCGTTTGCACTGTGTGCGATTCCTATCGTAGGTTTTCAAATACAGCTCTTTTTGCGTCACGGTCCTCCACCGCGTAGCCGCCTATTGAGGTCACGGCGACCACAGTTCGGATCTTTGGCGGCGTCTGCTGTACGCGTGCACTCACAGAACCAAGCTCCGCAAGCGTGTCCGCGTCGGATTCCAAATGGCCGTTTGCACGGTGTGCGATTCCTATCGTAGGTTTTCAAATACAGCTCTTTTTGCGTCACGGTCCTCCACCGCGTAGCCGCCTATTGAGGTCACGGCGACCACAGTTCGGAGCTTTGGCGGCGTCTGTTGTACGCGTGCACTCACAGAATCAAGCTCCGCAAGCGTGTCCGCGTCGGATTCCAAATGGCCGTTTGCACTGTGTGCGATTCCTATCGTAGGTTTTCAAATACAGCTCTTTTTGCGTCACGGTCCTCCACCGCGTAGCCGCCTATTGAGGTCACGGCGACCACAGTTCGGAGCTTTGGCGGCGTCTGTTGTACGCGTGCACTCACAGAACCAAGCTCCGCAAGCGTGTCCGCGTCGGATTCCAAATGGCCGTTTGCACTGTGTGCGATTCCTATCGTAGGTTTTCAAATACAGCTCTTTTTGCGTCACGGTCCTCCACCGCGTAGCCGCCTATTGAGGTCACGGCGACCACAGTTCGGAGCTTTGGCGGCGTCTGTTGTACGCGTGCACACACGGAATCAAGCTCCGCAAGCGTGTCCGCGTCGGATTCCAAATGGCCGTTTGCACGGTGTGCGATTCCTATCGTAGGTTTTCAAATACAGCTCTTTTTGCGTCACGGTCCTCCACCGCGTAGCCGCCTATTGAGGTCACGGCGACCACAGTTCGGAGCTTTGGCGGCGTCTGTTGTACGCGTGCACTCACAGAACCAAGCTCCGCAAGCGTGTCCGCGTCGGATTCCAAATGGCCGTTTGCACTGTGTGCGATTCCTATCGTAGGTTTTCAAATACAGCTCTTTTTGCGTCACGGTCCTCCACCGCGTAGCCGCCTATTGAGGTCACGGCGACCACAGTTCGGAGCTTTGGCGGCGTCTGTTGTACGCGTGCACTCACAGAACCAAGCTCCGCAAGCGTGTCCGCGTCGGATTCCAAATGGCCGTTTGCACTGTGTGCGATTCCTATCGTAGGTTTTCAAATACAGCTCTTTTTGCGTCACGGTCCTCCACCGCGTAGCCGCCTATTGAGGTCACGGCGACCACAGTTCGGATCTTTGGCGGCGTCTGTTGTACGCGTGCACTCACAGAATCAAGCTCCGCAAGCGTGTCCGCGTCGGATTCCAAATGGCCGTTTGCACTGTGTGCGATTCCTATCGTAGGTTTTCAAATACAGCTCTTTTTGCGTCACGGTCCTCCACCGCGTAGCCGCCTATTGAGGTCACGGCGACCACAGTTCGGAGCTTTGGCGGCGTCTGTTGTACGCGTGCACACACGGAATCAAGCTCCGCAAGCGTGTCCGCGTCGGATTCCAAATGGCCGTTTGCACTGTGTGCGATTCCTATCGTAGGTTTTCAAATACAGCTCTTTTTGCGTCACGGTCCTCCACCGCGTAGCCGCCTATTGAGGTCACGGCGACCACAGTTCGGATCTTTGGCGGCGTCTGTTGTACGCGTGCACTCACAGAACCAAGCTCCGCAAGCGTGTCCGCGTCGGATTCCAAATGGCCGTTTGCACTGTGTGCGATTCCTATCGTAGGTTTTCAAATACAGCTCTTTTTGCGTCACGGTCCTCCACCGCGTAGCCGCCTATTGAGGTCACGGCGACCACAGTTCGGAACTTTGGCGGCGTCTGTTGTACGCGTGCACTCACAGAATCAAGCTCCGCAAGCGTGTCCGCGTCGGATTCCAAATGGCCGTTTGCACTGTGTGCGATTCCTATCGTAGGTTTTCAAATACAGCTCTTTTTGCGTCACGGTCCTCCACCGCGTAGCCGCCTATTGAGGTCACGGCGACCACAGTTCGGAGCTTTGGTGGCGTCTGTTGTACGCGTGCACTCACAGAACCAAGCTCCGCAAGCGTGTCCGCGTCGGATTCCAAATGGCCGTTTGCACTGTGTGCGATTCCTATCGTAGGTTTTCAAATACAGCTCTTTTTGCGTCACGGTCCTCCACCGCGTAGCCGCCTATTGAGGTCACGGCGACCACAGTTCGGAACTTTGGCGGCGTCTGTTGTACGCGTGCACACACGGAATCAAGCTCCGCAAGCGTGTCCGCGTCGGATTCCAAATGGCCGTTTGCACTGTGTGCGATTCCTATCGTAGGTTTTCAAATACAGCTCTTTTTGCGTCACGGTCCTCCACCGCGTAGCCGCCTATTGAGGTCACGGC